GAGGGTTTTTTTCCTCTTGCCAAAGCTCTGAACAAACATTGATTTCTAGTACTTGTTTATTAAGAGTAGAACAAGCCAGAATGCTTGGGTTGCACTCTGTGAGATCTAGTTATTGTAGAAGGCCTAGTTGGAGTAATTGATCTATGTATATCTGCTTGTTGCTAGCTAAATGGGAATTGTGAAAATTCCTATTTGCATGTTGTTTAGATAGTAAAACGTACTGATTGGGATCCTGCAGTTACTGCAAGTTTCTTGATTGTTACTGCCAGCATGAATCAAATTGATTGACATTTTCTGTATTTGCTTTATATTTTTCTCTCTCTTTGGCTATATCAGGTGACAAAGTTGCTAGTGAAGTTTTTTACATCTTTTCCATGGCTTGTATGACAGAAGGTATCTGCTGAGATCACATAATTGCAGCTCAGATTATGAGATCGACAGTAAAACATTCTGATGTAGAATATTTTATATCAGTTTACAGCTTTCTAGTTCACAATAATTGCCATGGTTGTGTCTGTTGTTTGATCATCTCCAATGCAATGTGTCCCCAAGCAATTCAGATAAAGTATATGATGTTCTGCTGTAGCCCTGTTTGTGTTTTACAGCAGTTAGAAGCTTTATCCTGCTTTTAGAGTTTGGCTATCTAGAAATTCAGTAGTATTTGTAATGAGAAAATATCCTGTCCATTATTATGAATGATTTGTCTTAAAGCTGAAACAGCATCTAAAATAAAATGTCTTATTTACAGGGAATGTTATTGTAAACATACTTGAGATTAGATGCCTTTAAAATCTCTCAAGCTTCTTTACAACTAAATACATGTTTGGAAGAAATGTACAGTGTAATTGTAAAAGAAATACAGCTCAAGAAAGAATGACAACATCTTGTTTTAAATTATTTTAAAATATATTTTTTTAAAAAATGCAATGAATATATGCACCATGGAAGTAAGATAATTGAGGGGGTATCCCTAGTGACTTGGTAATAAACAATATGATTTCTGATTTAGAAATATTTTATCTAAAATTGAGAATCAATAAAATTGGGTGAACAATTTTTTTACAGCTAATTAAAGTGTTTTAATGATTATCATAATGTTAAAATACAGCAGCACTTCATTGTTGCTGCAGAGTGGATTCCTCTCATAATAAAATTATCATGGTCAGAATTTATTTAAGGAAAAGAAAAACGTGGCTGGAATCGTCTCTTCTTTATCTTTGTTTTTACTCAGAAGCCTTTGGAGGAATTCTAGCGGTAAAATTTTAGCATGATGAATCAATTCTATTGGATTTTTAACACTAAATGCATAGTTTTGAATGAAATAGAGATTTCAAATGGCTGTTCCTATTTTATGCCAGTAAAATTACCAATTGGGTGCTTCAAAATTGATTTTTTGAATTTGATTAAAACATTGGAGCAGGGATAGGGCAACTATGGCCCTTTTATGACCTATGAACTTTAACTCCCAGAGTTCTAAAGACAGCGATGGAGTTGGAAGTCCACAGGTCTTAAAGGGGCCATAGTTGCCTACCTACATTAAAGCAAAGAATATTCTTGTTATAAGAAAACTGGGTTATATGAACTTACTTCTTGTGCAATTTCTTGGAACAGGTGGCAACCCTGACAGCCGCTTTGATGTGGACAAGGGCACAGGAACAATAGTTGTCGCTAAACCTCTTGATGCAGAACAGAAATCAAATTACAATTTGACAGTAGAAGCAACAGATGGAACTAGGACTATTAGTACTCAGGTAACGGAATTTCTAATTTATAGAAATCAGAGTTTGTGTATATGTGTGTGTGTTCTGGTTGTCCCTGGACAGAATTACATAAAGTAAAGTAACTTTATTTGAAAAAAAGTTTTATATACAAATAGAATACAATAGATCTAAAGTTCCATAAAGGGAGAAGATTATGTGTAAATATATAAGTGCACTTTGTGTCAGCTTTAAAATCAGACAGTGTTCTACCATTAATAGAATAAATGAAAACCAGAAACAAGACAAAACTACAATTCACATAGGAAAAGAAAGTACAATACCAGTAATAAGAAAATACTACAATGTGTACATACATACACACAAATTCAGTGAAAATAATAATTTATGTAGTGAAATAATCTTGTTTTGATGTCTGGGTTAATGCTGGTCTTAAAAGTAATAATAATAGTTTAGGTTTCTTGCGAATAGATGTTCCCTAACAAAAAATTCTATCTGTTTATGTGTCTTAATTGTATATACTAGTGTTATATTTATGTGTGCATATGGGGTTATTTAAATTAAAACCTGAAATAAAGCAACAATAGTTGTTTATGTATGAATTATCCCAATGATTAAAGATCTGTTTATTTTGGTGCCAAGCTAAAATGGCTGTGAATATAACTTCTCTGTTGAAGCCACATTAAACAGATTCCACATGACAACAATTCTCCATACAACTTGGCACCAGAAAACTGTATGAAACAAAAGCAATTTGAATAAACGTAACTGTGACATATGAAATGATTAAAGAACTAATTCAGTTTAGAGATTAGAAAGTAAAAAATAAAAGACAGTTATTATCAGTCATATTTGTACTTTGAAATAGCAAGACCAGCTTCTTTCCTCTCCCCTCCTTCTCCCCTTGACAGGAGGAGAAAGAGAAGTTGGCAATTTTCCCAATCTTCTCTTAATTGAAGAATTCAGTTTTTAAAATTCTAAAAGAAAGCTTTGAAGTGTTGTGTTATTATTGTAATATTTTGTATTATATATCATATCTATTATGTTATCTATTATTTTATTATTCATCTTATTCATCCAGGGGTATCCTGAGGATTCCAGGTTTTATTCAAAATTATGAAAGCAACATTGCATTGTGGGAGGGCACGCTCTGTCCTATTTGTTCATGCATGTAATATCGCATTGTGATCACATGCAAAAGGGGATAAACTTAAGTCATGAAGTTTTCCACAGCTGTTTTCATCATTCCCCATGCCTCTCACAGACACCTTTTTTATTTATTTATACGGGTGGTCCTCTACTTATAACCATTTGTTTGGTGATCATCCAAACTTATAAGAGCACCGAAAAAATGATTTATCACTATTTTTCACGCTTAGGCCTGTTGCAGTATTCCCGTGGTCACATGATAAAAATTCAGACTCTTGGCAAGTGGAATATATTTATGACAGTTGCAGTGTCCTGGATCATGTGATCACCTTTTGCAACCTTCTTACAAACAAAGTCAATAGGGAAACCAGGCTCTCTTAACAACCATATTACTATCTTAACAACTGAAGTGATTCACTTAACAACTATGGCAAGAAAAGTTGTAAAATGGGCAAAATTCACTTAACTGTTCTGGTTAGCAAGGAAAATATTGGGTTCAATCATGATCGTAAGTTGAGGACTACCTTTGTGTGTGGGGTTTTTTTTTACGAATTTTAAGAAAATAGTAATTTCATGAAAGATCTTATGGGAAAAAATAACCCTGAAATATAACTGGTGTCAGCATCTGTGGAATATTTCATAAAGTTATCTAAATATTGATGAGTAGAGTGCTGTTGCTGCTAGAGCAGAGGTCCCCAACCCCCCTTCCGCAGCAAAGCCCCATCCGCGGGATGCAGGCAGCACACAAAATCATGTACCCAGTGGTGGGATTCAGCTGGTTCGCACCACTTTGGCAGAACTGGTAGCTATTTTTTTGTTGCCCAGGCCCAGAATGGACTTCCAAAAGCGGTATCCACAGAGAATTGGTTGTTCACATATTTAAATCCCACCACTGCACGTACTCTCCAGTCCATGGAAAAACCTTTCTCCATGGAACTGGTCCCTGGTGCCCAGAAGGTTGGGGACCTCAGTGCTAGAGTCTCAGGTGATCATTGTCACTTTTTGATATCATAGAAACCATAGCCTCTGGTCTTCTTTCTTGTCAGTTCTTATATGCCTTGTTGATCATTTCTGTCATTTAATTATCTCAGATATTTGTCCCAATTACTAGTTGACAAAAATAATATATTTTTGTAAATGTTGGGAGATTTTATTTCAGTGTATGTAAATGCTGCCCACAAATAGTTTTCAGGTGTTAGTGATTGCAGTTTTACATGTTTGATTTTTTTTTTCTATTACGTCCATAACTTCTCTAAAGTAACTCATTTCTTTATTGCAGTTAGAACTGCTGGATTATACAGCAGTTAAATGTATTAGAAGTATCCTTGTTGATTTATTTCTAGTTGCTTAGCTTTATAGTTTCTATTGGCATTGCTTTTTATATCATAATATTTATACCACACTATTGTATTCTGCACTATATTATACTTTACATACCATAATATCCATATTACTTGTATTTTTACATGTAAATTTTAGCGCAGTTAAGGTTTTATTCTTGTGTTAATAATTCTGTATTGTATTTTTTCATCAACTAGGTTGTTCATATTTGGATGGTTGTAAACTGTCATTGTATAATATAATTTTATGCTAACTTAATGACTGAAATAGCAATTGATGCTGCATACATATAGAAAAGGAAATATTTCAGTAATATTTATTGTGTTAAAGATGGTTAATAAATAATAGATTGGAGGAAGCAAGCACACATAATATAAGGATTTATTCTGATCTATCCTTATATGAAAATTGTTATTAATAGTAAATGAAGAATAACAGGCATGACCATTCAATCAATATAAACGTTAAGTAATCTTTTACAAACCACCTTGATATGTTGCTTTTCTTAGTTCTAAAATGTTGTATTATTTATAAAATAATGCAAATATTCTCACTTTTATATGAAAATAGACTACTGCTCTAAATTATATAATTATATGAATTATATAACTCCACCTAGAATCATTGGATTGGGGTAGTCTATAATTTCTGCTAATTTAGTAAATAATATACTATAGTAAATATGACTGAAAAGGTCTGACACATGTTAAGAATGTTATATTTTCTAAATAGACCAGTCCATCTCAAAGATAATTGTGTTGTTTAGAGGACGAAATAAGAATTTCATAGACTATGCACAGAATCTTGAAAACTTCTAAAGTAGTGGATGGAGAATTTTTTGCAACAGTCTGCAACAGACTGACTTGATCATCTCTAATATGTGTTGTTTTATATTGTCCTCTGTAGCTTGTTTGTAGCATTGTTTTTTTATTTCCTCCGGGGTTTCATATTTGTGTTATAATGTCGTTGCCATGTTTTATTTTTTGCATGTCATTTCAGGTGTACATTAACGTAATAGATACAAATGATCACAGACCAGAATTTTCTCTGTTAGAATACCAAGTCGTTATAGCAGAAGACATTTTGCCAGAGACAGAAATTTTGCAAGTCAGTGCCTCAGACAGAGATGAGAAGAATAAGCTAACTTATACTATGCAAAGCAGCATGGATCCTACCAGCCTTAGGAAATTTCGCCTTGATCCTGTAACTGGCTCACTTTATACTGTTGAAAAGTTGGATCATGAAGTCATCCATCAACATGTTCTCACAATCATGGTAAAGAACCATTTTTGTGCTTGTTCTTCAGCTGAAGTACTAAACGTTGCCAGGAGTATGTGGATACAAATCTGAAAAACAAATAATTAATTAAATGTTTGGCTTTTCAGTAAAACAGTAAAACATTCATAAGCAGAAACTGAAATGACTGCAGGTCAGCTACCCTCTTACACTTATACACAGCACATATCTTAACCATTTATTTGTTTTTGCTTAGGAAAGGTTTGTGGGGTATGTACGCTGGGAAGCCGCCGTTCCCTAATTTTTAGAATGCCTTCCCTTTCCAATACACTCATTAACTCTCATCCAAACCATACTTCGATTTAACTCTGAGATTGAGCTGTAAATTAAAAAGTCGTTTGTTGAAGTGTTAATTCTTCTGTAATACTAGTTACATTGGCCTTTGGCAACTTGTTATCTCGAAATCCACAAGACACTGGCTTTAAAATGAAATATCCAAATTATAAGCCTGTCAACTCACTACAGCAATTCTGGGTGGCTTATGTAGATGATAATAGAACTGACCTACTTTATAAGAGTTTTGTAAACTTTATTGAGATGACGTATTTGAAAGATCAAAAACTTTCAATATACTATAAAATACTAATGACAGCTAATGTTACTGTCTTTTTCCACATTCAAGCTGTTGAATATTTTGTTCATTTCTATTTTGTTCTTGTTTGGAAGGAATTTCACTTTGAATATTATCAAAGAGAGGACCAATTAGAAAGAAATGCTTAACTATTATTACTCCTTTTCCCCATTTTAATTCCTATTTCTTCCTTGTCTAATCTAACTAAGATTTATATAAAAAGCCATCCATAACACTAATCATAAGCTTGTGAATTGTGCAGCAATATTAGAAACACTCACCCACCTCACAAAAGAAATAGGCAAAGTAATAATATTTATTCTCTTGCATTATTTATTTGTATTGAGCAAATCCATTTCTGTAGGATGTAGCATGCATGACCAGTAGTTCTGAGAATTTGTTTAGAATAAAATTACATGTAAAATGGAGTTTTTGCTGATTTGATAAAATAATATGCTAATTGTTAATACTGTATTAATTATTTTAGGTACGAGATCAAGATGTTCCTGTCAAGCGCAACTTTGCTAGAATCATCATTAATGTTAGTGACACGAATGATCATGCTCCATATTTCACCAGTGCTTCTTATGAAGGCCAAGTATACGAGTCAGCAGCTGTGGGATCCATGGTGGTTCAAGTTACAGCATTAGATAAGGATAAAGGGGAAAATGCAGAAATCATATACTCTATAGAATCAGGTAAATTCTAATATTTTCAATATCATGTTTTAAAGATTAAAATGTAGTAGTATAAAAATATCTACAGTTTCCAATATGCAAATTGTGACCAGACCTATATTGTTCAAAATAGTGCAAGGCTTACTTTCAACAGTATTTGATCTGCACTGAATTTATTTCTTTGTTTGATTTATTTATGTAGCATGAAGCAAAATAGTATCCCTCCCCAAGAAGAAAAATCCTCAGATTATTAACCATTAAAATTAACCAATGATTGGTTACTTTTGTTTTGCCCCTGTTTTAAATTTAGCTGAGTAATGGCTCAGTTATTTTAGAAGAAGTTAAAAAAAATTAAAATCTGTATATTATCTGGAATATGCTACACTAAAAGCAGGAAGGAGATTAGAAATGTCTGTTTCTAGGATCCAAAAGATGATCAAATATAGCTGAAATGAAATAAGCTACTTTAAAAGGAAGTTCCCATAAAGCAAGAGGCATCTCTGAAAATGACCTGTCTATCTAGGGTCATACAGTTTTCCATTTACAGAGTGATGATCTCTGATGCAGTAGATTTCCAACCAGACCTTCACAGCACAGAAGGTTATATGAAGGTTATATACTTTTATTTAAATACAACGGTTAGAACCCCACATTTGAGTTTAGGTTGTAATCTGTCAGTTAAAATGTATGAAACATAGCATCCCATGTTGTGTGCATTTTTAAATAAAAACTGTATCTGGTCAAATGTCTGTTTCCAATTTGCTCCCTGTCACCCAATCTTTCTCTTCTTTCTTTACAAATTCTTCTTCCTTATTTATCCAAAGAACATTGTGGGAGGAAATGTTAAAACTTTCTCAACATTGTTTTTTCTGGTATATTCAGCAACTCTACTGCTAAAGCATTAGGGCAAATATTTTAGGCATATGAAATGAACATTCCTTAAATGCTTGTAATGGCTTAAAGGATTAGAAATGGGATATTCTAAGAATGGCACTCTGTTTATGACTTTCAGTAATAAAAAAAGGTTAATATCAACAGCCTACCCACATACATAATTTGAACATATTAATAAAATCGGTCATTATGAAGTGGTGGATTTAAATTTTGCTTGCTATGTTCTGTAATTAAAGCATTAGGAAAAATATTTGCTGTCTTAATTTTTTGGAATTTCTCAGGCAGTGTGAAATGCCAGAGTATTTTCTGCCATTCAGAAAAGCCGATTTGTTCCTGCTTTTATTCAGCAGTCAGAATGGAACTGCATTTTCTCAAAGTAAAAAATTTAATACAGAGCCTCAAGTCTATACATTTTAATTGGGAGTAATTTAGCTGAAAAAAATGTTTTAATTAAGCCACTGAAGTGTTTTTAGATTTAAAAATAATGACATAAAAGAACTGCTAATGAACTACTAATTAAGCTTCAATTGAGACTTGATCAAAGGACGTTTGACTACAATTTGCAGGCTGGATATTTATGGAGAAATCAGTTTTGAAAATGTGACCACAAAAATTAACCTTCCTCCTCCCAAAATATTCCAGATTGCTATGGACTTAGAGAAGCAGGGTCAGAGGACTCCATCCATCAGCAGCCCACTACATTCCTATTCTGCACATAGGGGCAGGCCTTCTCATTGCTTATAGCCCACTTGATTTCTTCTTCTGACTGCATAAAATTTCAGGCACCTACAGAATTCAGTTCCTTGCTGGCTACCAGCTGGTGGTACAGTGGTTAGAATGCAACATTGCAGGCTAATTCTGCAGACTGCCAGAAGTTCAGCAGTTCAATTCTCACCAGCTCAAGGTTGACTCAGCCTTCCATCCTTCAGAGATCGGTAAAGTGAGGACCTAGATCTGTGGTGGCGAACCTATGGCATGCGTGCCACAGGTGGGACGCAGAGCCCTTTCTGTGGGCATGTGTGCTGTCGCCCCAGTCCTAGGCCTTCAGCTGGGTTTTATAAAACCTTTTCGCTTTAGGCCTCCGCTGCCGTGTGCAAAAAAAAAAGGTTCAATCAATCAATTTCAACTTCTCGCGGGAAAAAAAAGATCTCACAAAGTTGGAATTGATTGAACTTTTTAGTCCCACCCAGTCTGCCATTACCACTGCATCCATGCCCACCCAATGGGCCACGCCCACCCAGCACCCGACAATACATAAGTGGGTTTTGGGCTGCAGTTTGGGCACTCGGTCTCTAAAAGGTTCGCCATCACTGACCTAGATTGTTGGGGGCAATATGCCGACTCTGTAAACTGCTTGGAGAGAGCGGTGAAGCAGTATATAAGTCTAACTGCTATTGCTATTAAATGCAAGATTCATTTAAGCTTTTTGTTTTACTTCAGCATAAAATGCCATGGCATTTAAAGGACATTTGTGCTTTATATTATTTGAATCTAATAAGTTGGTGTTCAGTTAAGTACAGTTGGCAGTCTATAGATTTATGTAAATAAATTATTCATTTTTTTCAGATCATTAATTTCTTGTCCTTTTGTTTTTCTTTCTCCCAAACAGGAAATATTAGGAATGCTTTCAATATTGATCCAGTCTTGGGTAGTATTATTACTGCAAAAGAATTGGATCTCAGGATCCAGGATGAGTACACTTTGATGGTGAAAGCAACAGATAAAGGGATCCCCCCAATGAATGAAGTCACAGCTGTGCACATTTCAGTCACAATCTCTGACAATGCATTGCCCAAGTTTTCCTTCCAAGAATATTCTGCAGAAATCAGTGAAAACAGTAGCATTGGCAGCTTCATCATCATGGTTATTGCATATAGCCAGTCATCTGTAATCTATGAAATAAAAGAGGGTAACATAGATGATGCCTTTACTATCAACTCACATTCTGGTGTTATCGCCTCTCAGAAGATTCTTGATTTTGAAACCTTGCCTTTTTATAGTCTTATTGTTCAGGGAACCAATATGGCTGGCCAGTCCACTAACACCTCTGTACTGGTGCATCTTCGAGATGAGAATGATAATGCGCCAACGTTTTTGCAATCAGAATACACAGGACTCATCAGTGAATCTGCTTCGATTAACAGTGTGGTTCTAACAGAGAGGAATATGCCATTAGTGATTCGAGCTACAGATGCTGACAAAGAATCAAATGCGTTACTTGTCTATCAGATTGTTGAGCCATCTGCCCACAAATATTTTGCCATTGATTCTAGTACAGGAGCCATTCGTACAGTAATGACCTTGGATTATGAAGAAACCAATATTTTTCACTTCTCTGTACAGGTATATGATATGGGAATACCACGCTTATCTGCAGAACATGCAGCTAATGTTACCATTTCCGTAATTGACATCAATGATTGTCCTCCAGTGTTCTCTAAAGATCTGTATGAAGCAACTCTTCTAGTGCCAACATATAAAGGAGTAAAAGTTGTTACAGTAAATGCAAATGATCCAGATTCAGAAGCCTTCTCACAACTCATGTATTCTATTACTGAAGGCAATATTGGAGAAAAATTTTCAATCAATTCCAAGTCTGGGTGGATAACTGTACAAAATACAACTCAGCTAAGAAGCCGGTATGAATTGACAATCAGAGCATCGGATGGCAGGTTTTCAACCACTACATCTGTCAAAATTAATGTAAAAGAGAGCAAGGCAAATCAGCTGAAATTTACACGAAGTTCCTATAATGCTGTGGTCCAGGAAAATTCCACAGAAGCGAGAACAGTAGCAGTCATTACTGCTATAGGAAATCAAATAAATGAACCTTTGTTCTATCAGATTCTAAATCCAAATAATCGATTTAAAATCAGTTATACTTCTGGAATTCTTTCAACCACTGGAATACCATTTGACCGCGAGCAACAGGAATCATTTGATATTGTGGTAGAAGTGACTGCAGAACATAATCCATCCATAATTGTACACCTTGTGGTAAAGGTCACTATAGAAGACATAAATGATAATGTCCCTGTCTTTGTCAATCTTCCATATTATGCCACTGTTAAAATAGATACTGAAGTTGGTGAAGTGATTCACTATGTCACTGCTGTAGACCATGATATTGGTAGAAATGGTGAAATACAGTATTACTTCAAGGAATACAGTGACCAATTCCAAATAGGGGAAACTGGTGAAATCACACTCAAGAAACAGTTTGATCCAGAAACACTAAACAAAGAGTATCGTCTTACTGTGGTAGCCCAGGATAAAGGAGAACCAAGTTTATCTGCTGAAGTAACAGTTCCAATCACTGTGGTAAATAAAGCCATGCCAATATTTGAAAAAACTTTCTACAGTGCAGAGATACCTGAAAATATCCCAGTCCATAGTCCAGTGGTTCATGTGCAAGCATATAGTCCAGAAGGACTGAAAGTGTTTTACAGCATTACAGATGGTGATCCTTTTGATCAATTTAATATCAACTTCAATACTGGAGTTCTCAATGTTATTGCCCCCTTAGATTTTGAGGCCCATCCTGCTTACAAATTGAGCATCCGGGCTACTGATTCATTGACGGGGGCCCATGCTGAAGTATTTGTGGATATAATAATTGAAGACATCAATGATAATCCTCCTGTCTTCACAGAGCAAAGATACACTGCCACCATTTCTGAGGCATCTATAATTGGAACATCTGTTGTACATGTCGGGGCCACTGATGCTGATTCTGGAGCAAACAGAAAGGTTTCTTACCACTTGGTAGGCAACATTAGCAAGAACAATGATTATTTTGTTATAGATAGTACAGGGCTCATTCTGATAGCAAGGAACTTGGATTTTGAACAAGCTCGACAACACACATTGTTGATAAAAGCAATAGACAGTGGAATGCCTCCACTGAGCAGTGACGTTGTTGTAACTGTTGATATAACAGACCTGAATGATAACCCACCAGTGTTTAACCAGCTGCTTTATGAAGCTAATATCAGTGAATTGGCTCCCCATGGGCACTTTGTAACATGTGTAAAAGCCTCCGATCCAGACAGTTCAGATTCAGAAAAGCTTAAATATTCCATACTAACAGGCAATGATAACATGCATTTTGTTATCGATAGCAATACTGGGGTCATCACTCTTTCAAACATACATAAACAGACTCTGAAATCAGTTTATCATCTCAATATATCTGTCTCTGATGGAGTCTTCAGAAGTTCAGCTCAGGTTCACATAAATGTAATTGGAGCCAATTTGCATAGTCCTATGTTCAGTCAGAATGAATATGAGGTAGAACTAGCTGAAAATGCTCCATTGCATACCCTGGTGACTGAAGTCAAAGCTACAGACAAAGATACTGGCAGTTATGGGTCTGTAACATACCATATTATGAATGAATTTGCAAAAGACAGATTTTATACTAATGAGAGGGGGCAAATATTTACTTTGGAAATACTTGATCGTGAAACTCAAGCTGAAAAGGTCATCTTTATTAGGTTCATGGCTAAGGATGCTGGGGGAAAAGTGGCATTCTGCAGCATCAATGTCATACTTACTGATGTTAATGATAATGCTCCGCTTTTCCGAGCAACTGAGTATGAAGTTAATATTGGGTCCGATGTTCCAAGAGGTACATCTATCATCAAAGTCTTGGCTTCCGATGCTGATGAAGGTTCCAATGCAGATATCACTTACACAATTGAAGCAGATTCTGAGCATGTTCAGGAGAATTTAGAAATTAATCATTTGACTGGAGTAATAACCACAAAAGAAAGCTTAATTGGGTTAGAAAATCAGTTTCTTACATTTTTTGTTAGAGCAATGGATGGTGGATCTCCACAAAAGGATTCTAGTGTCCCCCTATATGTTAGAATACTCTCTCCTGAAATACGTTTGCCAAAATTTTCAGAACCATTTTATTCTTACATTCTTTCTGAAGATACTCCTATTGGGACTGAAATTGATATTATACGAGCAGAGCACACCCATACCTTGTTATATAGTCTTGTTAAAGGATATACACCTGAAAGAAATAAAGATGATTGTTTTGTGATAGACAAGCATAATGGAAGGCTAAAAGTTGAAAAAACTCTGGATCATGAGGTAACTAAATGGTACCAGTTCTCAGTGCTTGCATATTTTATGAATGAAAATTATAAAGTTGTCTCTTCTGTAGACATAAGTATTCAAATCAAAGATACAAATGATAATGCACCAATTTTTGAAGCCAATCCTTATGAAGCATATTTAGTAGAAAATATGCCAGCTGGATCAAAAGTCATACGGGTAAAAGCAATGGACCAGGATTCTGGGAACAACGGACAAATTACTTACAAGCTGGAGCCAACCCAGGATACTGAAATCCTGGAGTCTTTTGGCATAAATCTGGAAACTGGCTGGATTACCACTCTAAGAGAGCTTGATCAAGAAAAGCAAGACAAATACCAAATTATTGCGATGGCGTCTGACCGTGCTGAAAAAATGCAGTTGTCCTCCACCACTGTTGTGGAAGTTTATGTAGCTGATGTGAATGACAGCCCTCCTCACTTTACTGCAGAGATTTATAAAGGAACAGTCAGTGAAGATGATCCAGTTGGAGGAGTAGTTGCTATAATAAGCACTACGGATGCTGATTCAGAATATTCTAATAGACAAGTCAACTATTTTATTACTGGTAAATATTTAGAAATATATTTAGATAGCTTTAGCTGTATATGTTTTGAATAACAATAGCTTTCATCTTAAATAGACATCCTTTTATTTATGAGATTCACTGTCATGGAAGGAGGAAAATTTATTGTTTCATAACCTGTTTTATGGCAATGGTCTTGAAATATAAGGTCAAAATCTTGTGCTATTCTGATATAAGAAATGTGGAACATTAAATTAATGTGGCATTCCTATATTGTTATTCCTATCCCTGTTTTGAAGTCTTTGCACTTAATGTTTCTTAATCCATACCCATAATATTAGTAGTTTCTGGCCAGTAGAAAAATGTACAGTATGTTAAAATTATAAGTGAAAGGAAATTACGATTTTAATATGAGTATGCTGTGGAAAAGAAAAATAATATAATGCATTATTGATGCATTATGTGAAACCATCATGGTTTTTTAAAGTCTGATAACTTCAGGTCTTCTGAATTTTTCCCTTAACCTGAATCTCTCTGTTTGATAATAAACTAGCAATTGTTTATTCAACAAAAATATTACTGTACATATAGTTTTTATTATGGAACAATTACTTGTATTGATTGTAAAAGTTCCATTACTAAAGAAATACCTTTAGTAATCAGTATAGCTATCAAATAACTATCTACAGTCGGAATGTGTCTAGCTTGCATTTAGCAATGCTGGTATTTTTCCCATCTAAAATTATTGCCAGTTGGATACACTATAAAGAAGGGATCAAAGCAGGCAATAGTTGAACCTTTAAAGTCTTTAACAATGTTTGAGTAGTAACAGCTTACAAGTCTGCATATTTGTTTGCCCTGCTTATTTAGTAGTATGTAAATAACCCTTGATTTTATGGATTTAAAAAAAAAATATCCTAAAGTATTAAAACAGTATTAAAAAAACAAGATAGAAAAGATTGGAATGCCTGGGAAAATAGAAAAGGTATTTGTTATATCAAATAATGCATAACAATTATTTGAGGAAAACTTTCATACTCCTAATAGTCTAAAGCAGTGTTTTTCAAACTTGGCTGGGAATTCTAGGAGTTGAAGTCCACATCTATTAAAGTTGCCAAATTTGAAAAACACTGGTCTAAAGCATTGGATATAGGTTCTCACAAAGGTACAAGTGTCTACATACAAAACATGCCGAACCAGAATATAATTTTTGTTGAAGCAGCATTGCATGTTTTCTCAAATACAGGTAGTCCTCAACTTACAACCACAATTTAGCCCTAAATTTCTGTTGTTAAGTGAGGCAGTTAAGTGAATTTTGCCCACTTTATGATTTTTCTTGCCACAGTTGTTAAGTAAATCACTGCAATTGTTGAGTTAGTAACACGATTGTTGAATGAATCTGGCTTCCCCATTGACTTTACGTATCAGAAGATCAGCAAAGGTGATCAGATGACTCCAGGACACTGCAACCGTCATAAGTATGAGTCAGTTGCCAAGCATCTAAATTTTGATCATATGACCATGGGGATCCTGCAATGGTTGTAACTGTGAAAAACTGTTATAAGTCATTTTTTTCAGTGCTATTGTAACTTTGAATGATCAATAAATGAACTGTTGTAAGTTGAGGACTACTTGTATGCTGTTAGAGCTTTTATTTAAAATTGTAGAGGTATACACTAAATGTAATAAGGTTTATAATATCTTTTATTTTCCTTTAATAAATATGGGCTTGTTTTACTGTAATAACTTTTAACGGTTGACTTCCATGTATTGTGCATATATTTGCATAGTGCCAGTTCATCTGCATAAAATATTGCATTTTTTATTAGCATTAGATCCTCCCATGCTATGTAGCATATTGGGGAGCAAGGGATGTCGAGCATTTTTGATCTTGGACGAGTAATTCATTGTCTTCCCATGTGATGTTTAGAGTCTTGGATATATTCTTTTTTTTATTACATAATCATATATTGTCTTGCTAATTATTTAGGAGGTGATCCATTGGACCAGTTTGCTGTAGAAAATATACAGAATGAATGGAAAGTTTATGTCAAGAAGCCATTGGACAGAGAAGTAAAAGATAATTACCTTCTAAATATCACAGCTACTGATGGGATGTTTGCTGCTAAAGCAGTGGTAGAAGTAAAAGTCCTTGATTCAAACGACAACAGCCCAGTTTGTGAAAAGGTATTGGTCTGGATTTTTGATACATGCTGCCATCTAGATAACAAGAATACTATGCTCAAACTGAATTATTACTTTGGAGGGAGAAAATTCTCAAGTCCCACAAACATTTTTAATCAATATATCTGCTAACCCTAATTTATATTAATAAGATCTAATCTGATGATATTTTTAAAACTATTAAAAGACCTGTTTATTATCCCAGACTTTAGGACAGAGTGATGGCTAATCCCTTATTGGGTTAAAGTGGGGTGGGAGCTTGGTATATCTATTTGGGATCAAGCCACTTACAGATTCTTTTTAAGTTAGCTATTGTTTTCAAGAGCAATCTTCCCCAAGCTGATGCCGAAAAAGTGGTGAAACTTTCTATAATTCCTGTTCATAATCTTTAAATATTATAGGACTTGTAGGAAGGGGACAAGTGGAGGAAAGCTGAAGAGTTTTAATATTTATCTTGCAAATGCTTTTAGGCCTTGTATACAGACGCTGTTCCAGAAGATTCCCCACCAGGCAAATTCATCATTCAAGTCATGGCCACAGATGCAGATATTCGTTCCAACGCAGAAATAACTTATACATTATATGGTGCTGGCGCAGAAGAATTCAGACTCAGTCCAGACACAGGTAGTATTTAGAGGTTATAAACTTTCAGTGAAACCTTAACCCTTCTTTATTGTTGATAGGTGTTTGCATAGTTGGTTTTATGATGGTTTAGGCAAGAGAAGGCCACCATGAACAAGCTCCTTATTAGTTTGGCAGAACAACAGTTATTGAGCATGATTCTTCTACCAATGTCTAGCCATCAAAGACTGTCTAAAGTTGACAATGGAGAGTGGAACAGTGAATTTTGGAATCACTAACCCTTACCTGTTCTCCCAAATAGCCTTAGTTTGAGTCTGTCAATTACATTGATAAGACTACTAAAGCTAAAATCATGAATATAGAATCTGCCTAGCATAAATGCCAAACAAAGCTAACATATATTTGCTGCCATTGCCAACAATTCAGTGCTTTAAAGTTTTGCTGACAAGTGCTATGTTCGCATTCACATGCCCCACCTTTTAGAGATTTGAAATACTTGTAAGCTCAATACTAGTGTAATTCGTCAGTTTAAAATTGTATTTTGATTAGTTTAATATGAACAGCTTATATCTTTTTATATTTGTGAATTATTTTAGCTCTTAATGTTTTAAGTTACTTTTATTCCAGAATTACTGTTGGATGGATTTGATTTGCAAGCTGTAATGTATTCATTATTTATTATGCTGTTCCAGACATAAATTAGAAGGAAAAATAACTATTTTAGCATAAAGGAACAAGTATTGCCATGTTGGAAAATCAATCTAGTTCTGTAAAAGGAAATCCTTTGCCAATTTTTTAATCTGTTTTTTTTTTAATCAGGCACGCAGATGGAGGTGACACTGCACACTTTATACACTTGCATTTTCAAAAAGCCTTAAGCAATTCTTAGCTGGTTAAAAATTGAAAGCAAAGAGCAGATAAATGGGTTGGTTTCTCAATGGAGGAAAGTAAAAAGTAGAGTTCTGTAAAGATTGTGTTTGTCTTTCTGCTTCTTAACTTAGTTATAAATGTTTTGACAATTAAGCAGTGAGAACCAGTTTATGAATGGCACTAAAGTATTTGGTATGGTAATAACTACATGTCATTTTGAAAAGCTTCAGAGGATCGCTTTAATCTGGTCAACCAAATTATAAATGCAGTTCGAAGTACGTATTTAGTTCTTAACATCATTTGCTTCCATTCTTTTATTTTTGTTGCTTCTTTCGTAGGTGAACTGAAAACATTAGCAACGCTTGATCGTGAGCAAAAATCTATATATTTCCTTATGGTAAAGGCTTCAGATGCAGGAGGAAGATTTTGCCAGTCTGATATTATTCTGAATATAGAAGATATAAATGATAACCCTCCAGAGTTTACAGCAGAAACATACTCCATCACAGTGTTTGAAAACACTGAATTGAACACTTTGCTGACAAGAGTTCATGCTACTGATTCAGATGCAGGTATGAGTTATAGAATAATTATTTCTAAAAGAAAGCTCTACTATTTATGCAATAGTTTGTTAATTATATTTCATAAGTCTTCTTTTGTATGATACAGTCTATAACTTGTAGATGTGGCTGAGCATAATCTTATCATAACTCACAGTTCCAGTGCATGGATTGCTACTAGCTACTGCTTCCAGCTGGCAGCCAGTGTCTATGTGAATGTGAGGTCTTTTTTTTACTTTAGATCAAGCATTGTTATCCATGGGCTATGGAAAAGCTTCTGGGCTATGGAAAAGCTGAGTGCTTAGAAGACAAAAGATATAATTGTTACAAAAATATAAATGTAGGTTTTGTGGTTATGGATGAATGGCATATCAATTAACTAGAGCCATGGGCAATCAATCCATTTAGACTAAATTCTGTGGATGTATTGAACTTATGCATGCATTTGGGGAAAAAAATAGGATAAGTTTTGTAAACATTTGTACCGTGTGCCATTTAACACTAGCAGAAAGCTATATAGTAAAATAAAAGTGACAGTTGTCATTATTTTCTGCATTAATGAAAGGAATTAATTTGAAATACTGTTTAGAGCTTAATTTGCTGGGTTTTTTTATTATAGGTTTAAATCAGAAGATTCATTATTCCCTGCTAACACATGTAGATGGGCAGTTTTCTATTGATGAATCCTCTGGGATTGTTAAGTTAGAAAAGCCCTTAGACCGGGAGTTACGAGCAGTGTATCATTTAATATTGAAAGCTGAAGATGAAGGTTCACCAAGGAAGCTGTCTTCTACTGCTACTCTGGTGGTTTCTGTTTTGGATATAAATGACAATCCCCCTGTCTTTGAGTATAAAGAATACAGTGCAACCATATCAGAAAACGCAATAGTTGGGATGGAAATTCTTCAGGTCTATGCTGCTAGTCGGGATATTGAAGCCAATGCTGAAATCACGTACTCGATAGTGAGTGGAAATGAACATGGAAAATTCAGTATCGATTCAAAAACAGGTAATTGTTCATATAATTACTAATAAGAAAAAATTGCTAGCATCAATAACATTGCATAGAGGGCTGGATATATGTGTGCATTTTAAACCTTTCTATAATGTATTGTGTTAGCACAATATCTTATTTTATTTAAAAAAAAACATGAACGAGATAGAAAAATTAAGGGTAAAAGTCTTGGGCAAATTATCATGCTTAAATTGTTTGCTAAATGAAGTGTTCATGAAGTGGAAAATCACATGACTGCAACTATGCTGGAAAGAGACAAGACTAGACAATTTCACACCTTCAGCTTTTGTTTGCATCCTAACCCCTTTTCCCCAGCTTTTGGAAAATTTGAATGCCTGCTTAGTGTCTTGTACACATCATAAGTCAGTGGTGGCGAACCTATGGCACGGGTGCCAGAGGCGGCACTCAGAGCCCTCTCTGTGGGCACATGCGCCATTGCCCCAGTCCTAGGCCTTCAGCTGGGTTTTATAAAACCTTTTTGCTTTAGGCCTCTGCCACCATGTGCAAAAAAAAGAAAAAAAAATGGTTCAATCAATCAGTCAATTTCAACTTCTTGCGGGAAAAAAAAATCTTGCAAAGTTGAAATTGATTGATTAAACTTTTTAGTCCCACCCAGTCTGCTGTTACCAATGGGCCACACCCACCCAATGGGCCAAACCCAGCCAATGGGCCACACCCACACGGCACCCGACGATGCATAAATGGGTTTTGGGTTGCAGTTTGGGCACTCGGTCTCTAAAAGGTTCGCCATCACTGTCATAAGTCGTGCGATTGTTCTGGCAGCCCAGGGCTGGGAGCCATGGGTGCACTATACAAACTGTTCACTCTTTTGCAACCCCTTCTTTTCCTATATCTCCACTCTGCAAGGAGGAACCCCTGACCCTTTTCTCCACCACCTGAAAGAGCACTTTGAAAGCAGTGCAATTATGCCAGCAATCCAGGGCTGGGAGCTACAGGCACACTACACAAACAGCTTACAGTACTGTCTTGAAATTGCTTCCTCTCCAATATCTCTACTTTGCAAGGAGTGGGGATAGAAAAAGAAAAGCAACCTCCTTTTCCTGACACTTTCCTGCTACCAAAAAAGTAGGAGAAGATCAGGCACAGGACAACACATACTGACTGTAATGGTGATCATATGCCTGAGAGATGCTGCAAAGATTGTAAATAGTCATAAATTAGCCATAAAATTGTTCATGAATATAACCCATACAAACAAAAACTCCTTTGGTGTCCTTCATAATTTTTTTAAGTGAAGGATTGTGAGACAAAATATTTTTAAGAAATGCTACTCTGATTTTTCTAGAATATGAATAAGTAGAAATAAAGTACATCATGTAGGGCAGGGGTCCCCAACCACCAGGCTGCAGCCCACTACCAGGCTGTGGCCTATTTAGAATTGGGCCGCTCAAGTGGCTGGCTGGACCTCTTGCAGTACTCACACGCCTGCGCCTCACTCTTGTGGCCCAGTTCCCCTCCTCCCAGCCTGGCCGCCAAGCCACAACGTTTGGGGACTGCTGATGTAGGAAACAAGAGAAAAAATATATTATAAATTAAACAAGTAAATATGACAAATTGTCTGAAAATCCTTTTTTTATCTATGTATGTAAATAAAAATTCAAATATAGAAACACACACAAATGCACACACTTAAAAAAAACCAATCAGGCATTACTATATCATTCCAATTTTATATGATTATTCTGTGGGCTACATCCAAAGCTTGAATAATCTGCTGTAGTACTTGATATGTTATTAAATTCTATTTATACCAACCAAATGCTTAGGAAACAGAAAAATTATCATTACAAAGTCATATTAATAGGCTGGTAAATTCCTTACCCAAAATATATTGAAGAAGCCACAACTCCCAAGTTATATTTCCAGCAACAAGAGAATTATAACCAACTTCTTTGAGGTGTGAAATAAGATTTTATGTTAGGTTAATTTCATTTTAAATTAACAAAAGAAGATTACCTCAAAGCTTTCAAGCAACTGTTTAAAAAGAAGAGCATGTACATAATCAACACCAGTTTATATCCAGCTCAGTAATGCCAGCATGGCAACACATAGACAACATAGTTACACAAATGTTGCCATTATATACTTAAATCCTGATACCTTCAAGTACACAAGTTGGAAACATTTTGTGACATGTCGCAGTTGCTCCCTTGTACTTACTGTGTGGACACTTATGCACACATTTCGAGATTAGCAATATATTTGATTACAAGGAGCAAAAGATTCAAATCCTATTACAAAACCAGTCTTTAAGAATTCACAGAGGTAACAGAATTGAAGAATTGCAGATCAACAACTTCCAAAGGATTATTGTTTATTACCCACCCTAGTTTTGATTGTTTTTAACATTTATTTATTACTGATTGATGGCTTTTTAGCAGAAATGTGTCATAGAAATAATACTGTTGGAAATATTATAAACGTGATCAGCCATAAAAGCATGGATTATTTTCATGAGTGGTTATTTTCATCTCTTTCCCATGTTACAAAAGAAGAGACATTTGTTACTAAATCTGAAATAATTTACGAAGCAATTTGAAATTTATAAATTGTCATTTTACTTGCTTTAACCATTAGTGTCACTTTCTTTTTTCTAGGTGGAATTTTTATTATTGGAAGCCTTGATTATGAAATTTCCCCTGAGCATTTTCTGATGGTGGAAGCCACAGATGGAGGAACACCTTCGCTAAGTGATGTTGTAACAGTGAATATAAACATAACTGATATCAATGATAATACTCCAGTATTCAGTCAAGACACTTATACAGCAGTAATCAGTGAAGATGCTGAGGTTGAACAATCAGTCATCACAGTATGTACTTCCATCCCCAGCTTTCCTGAGATACTCCTTGCATTTTAGAAGAACAAAAATTATGCTTAAACAGCACTGCATGAGAGAATAATACTGTTCTATATTTGCTGATTTTTCTGAAATATTATTTTAAATCAAGGATACAGAATACAATAATGCCCTAAATATTAATTCTGCAAGACAGATTGGTTTAGATAAGAGTTATGAATCTGGAAAATGTTTATCCGAAAAGTTAAACAATCTGAAAAAAATCACTGTCTACTTGGTTTGGTTTTAATTGAGAAATACGTGTCTTTTAGATTCTTGCAGCTGATGCTGATGGGCCTTTGAACAACTGCATTCGATACTCTATTATAGATGGCAACCAAGGAAATCCTTTCACAATTGATACTACCTTGGGGGAAATTAAAGTGGCTAAACCTCTCGACAGAGAGAAAGTAGGGTCATACATTTTAAGATTATGTTTGTAATTATTTTAACAGTATTTCTAGAAATTATTTATTAGTTAAATATTTTGCAAGTAATTTCAATCCTTCATTTTGTCTTAATATTTCTTAGTCTTCAAATCCAAAATCCTCAATTCATTTTTCTTCTTTCAGCAAAAAGTCCATATAAGGCTTCCAATCTGTCAAAAAAAAATAGAAAAACTAAATTTCATAGTTCCTATAATTTGATTTCATTAAATAAAGTGATTTCCTCTGAACCTAAGAAAGATTTTATGGATTTTCTGCTGGCACCCAGTACTGAAAATATTGTTTTGTTTTGTTTTGTTTTGCTTTGTTTTGTTTTGTTTTGTTTTGTAGATAAGAGATGGCATATGGGATGAAGAGATAAATACTTCTAACCTTAGAGGGGGTTAAGAATGTGTTGTGATAAAAGTTGGAAGTCACTTCTTTATATTGTATTTTTTTATTATATGCTTTTTCTTCTTTTTTCCTTTTTCCTTGTACTTTTTATTCCTTTATATTCCCTTTAAGTCTGTTTGTATTAGATTTTATTATTATAATCAAAATAATAAAATAGGTAGGTAGTTAGGTGGAGAGAGAAAGAAAGAGAGAGGGAGAGATAAAAAAGAAAAGACTTTTTCTGACATGCCAGATAGAGGGACCTATTAAATAGAGAACGTCTTCTAAAGGCTTTTCCTGCTAATTGTAATGACTAGGCTACTTTATAACAGTAAATAGTTAATCTGAAAGCAATTTAGAGATTTAATTGTTAATCCAAGAATTTGAAATTGTGCCTGGTATAAACTGATTGCCAATCATATGCTTTAATACAAGCAGCTGTAGCTTATACAAGTTAGCATCATCACTGCTAGATTTTGTGTTAATTGCACTGCAATAATCAAAATAGATTAATGCTGGGAGGTTTATAGCATATTACTAAAACTGATTTATAGAGTACAGACCAGTATATATGAATTGACCCTATTGACAAAAATTGTTTCTTAGAAAGAAAGCAAGATTACATTTTAGTTATGTTGTTTGTTGTACATAGTTGATACTGTAATAGACAGGTGGCTTATATCCAAATCATTGTGTAAATCAAGTAGTATTCTTTCTCTCCAGATGCTGTGTTGTTCACTTATAAGCTATCTGTAAAAAATTTCTTAATGCAAAAGGTGGAGAATACGTAGATTCAAATATTTTATAGTTCAAAAGAATATAGCCTGCTTGTGTTAATATTTTTCTATGTGTTTCACTCTGAAGATTTCAGGTTACACTTTGACAGTTCAAGCATCAGACAATGGATATCCGCCAAGAAGTAACACAACTACAGTCAATATTGATGTATCTGATATAAATGATAATCCACCCTTATTTTCAAAGGAGAATTATACCATTATTATTCAGGTAATTCATAGATATTATATTCTAGCATTTGATGTATTCTGTTTGTTTTCTATACTTTTGGAAAGCTTCTACTTATAATGTAATATAATTCATCCATTAGAAGATTGTAAAACATTTATATAAATTCTCAGTGAGACTGGATCAATTCCAGAGTCTGAGTTTCGATAATGATATCTTTTGAATGTGTATGGATTTTGGGAGTTGATTAAATAAAGGGTCTGTGTTAATGCTAACGAATTAAGAATTTCCTTCCCTGATTCCATAAGCTAAGTCCTTATCCTGATTTTTTTAAGGAAATCCATATTGGCACGTTGCTGTTTTCATTTCCTTCAAAAATTCTATAGGACAAAGGAGAGAATCCTTTGATTTTTATTTATATTTCTAATTATGTTACTAAGTTGAGGTTGATAATTTATTTAAGTTTATCTTGCAAATGGAAACTGTTCTTTCTTATTCTTCGGAGAGGACAGAATCTCACAAATTTAGTTTTGCCAACATGAGAAATGCAGGTCTTTTTTTGCTCTCTACAGAAAGAAACAAAGTATAGCATAATTGAAAGGGGAAAAGGAACTATCATAGCTCAATGAACTTATTTTTCTGATTCAGTAAGTCACTGGAAATCAGTGATTAACAAATAAAATGATGGTAAATGTTAATTGATTTGCATGTTCATACTCAAAAGTTGTTTGTTAAACCTTTGTTGATATTCTTAGGTAGAGAGCAACTACACAAGAAATACATTTTACAGAATCATCTGAAAGTTGGTTTTAATGTTTGAATTTGCAATACTCAAAAAGTGAGCAAATGATAATAGTAATGTTTACTGATAGTAATTGACAAATTTCTTTTAAAAATAAACCCAAATCTTTCAACAAAACAAAAAAAGGGGATGCAACTAATAATTTTGTTTTGTTGAATAAGAAAACAAGGTTTTAACAGGCTTAAATTAGCAATATCAAACTTATCCTCTTACAAATATACAATAAAGATTAATTAAGAGATGAAAAATATTCTCATTCCCCTTTACTTGTAGCTAAAAGTCTTCATTCTCAGGTGCTTGCTTTGTAGTAATAGTGCATTTATTTGTATGATCTCAAAAATAGTATTAGTACTCATTATAAATTAAAAAGGTCCTATCTGAATCTTTAATTTTACTGTTACAGAATTTACTAGCTAAGATTAACTTTTGGCATGTTGATTGTCAGACAAGAATTGATGGTTGGAGGCCTAGTTGGGTTGCATCATAGAATACATGAACCAAACAAAGGATAGGAAACAGTAAGCTTAGCTCTCCTTTAACTACATGGGAAGTAAAGTGACAGAGAGATTAAAGGATTTATTTCACTGAGGGTTGTGACACAGACAGGAAATAATCCTAGATGTTTTGTTGCTGAGACTTTTGTACTTTAGGATTGCCCTAATAGCTAAACACATTTCACCTAATCTAGCATCCTACTTCAGCAGTGGTCATTTCAGAAAAATAAGAACAAAGAATTAGAAGTCTTTTAGAAGCAATAAACAGTATTTTTTTTGTTTTTCCAAGTTGAAGGTTAGGTTGCATTGGGTAATAGTCAGCAAATACGTCAATTAGGTGGGATTATATTAAGGGAAAGAAGGAGCTAGAAAACTTGAATTTCATTTGAAAAAGGCCCAATATATTGTTAAGTTGCAGAAACTTACATTTTAGCTAATAATTTCTTAATAAGACAAAAGTATTCACTATCACATATATTTATATGTTATGTATAAAGCAGTTTTATCTGTTTGGAAGGATTTTAACATGTTTTTAGTATACTCCAGAAATATTATAGTATTATTAGATTTAGTCCATTAATTGAAGAGATTGAATTGGAAATTATGGGAGTACCTCGCCTAACCATTTTCAGTAATAGGGAGGGAGGGATTCATTACGGTTACTGGTTCTTACACATTTTTATACTTTATATTCTTATATTTTAATACTTTCAATGATCTAGAAAGGATACAGTAATATGTGTAAAAGTAGCACATTTGCAGCAACCTCCTTTGAAATAACAACTGGTTGAGCTGGATCATTGTGCTTAGTGCTTTAAATGTGGTGAAAAAATGAAGTCGGGCTGATCATGTTTTCTTCCATTGTACAAAGCCAAAAAAAGAAGACAAAGCGCTCCTGCTAAGAAATGTGCAAAAAATAATAATTTAAATTTGAAACATTTTGAAATCCACATGACCCATGTTAAGTTTAAAAGAGGTATCCTAAATTTAAAGTATTGTCTCACCTTATAATTTTTAACAGTTTGAGAAAGATTGAAATATCCCATTCAATCTGAAACAATTGTTTTGAACTCAAAATGGAGCTTTTTGTTCCATTGTCATGTCACATCTTTGTAGTTGAAAGTAGCTTTATAACTATATTAACGCATCCACATAAAACATCCTGTGAGGGCCTGTGTAAGAAGATTTCTTCCCACTTTTATAGGAAAATAAGCCAATTGGATATAACATTCAGCAGCTGGTGGTCACAGACAAAGACTCCTCCCATAATGGTCCACCATTTCTTTTCACAATTCTGAGTGGAAATGAACTTAATGCTTTTGAGATCAACCAACATGCTGTACTTACAACTGGTATTCAACTACAGCGCAAAGTGAAGGATCATTACGTGCTCCATATTAAGGTATGAAATGCTGTAATACGTCTTTGAAATATGTTGAAATAGCTGGGCTGTGAAACGATTAGTATGTGCTGCTGTATGGTCAAGTCGTTAATTCAATTTAGACTGACACTGCTGCATCTTTACTGCTGTTTTACTAGAGTGGGATGAAGTGGCCATCCCATTCTAATAATGGATTAAGATGCTGTGCTTGTCAACCAGAAGGTTAACAGTTCGAGACCCAGGCACCGAGTGTCTGGGTGAGCTCCCTAGCAGTTCAAAAGCATGCAAATGCAGGTAATAAATAGATAACACTTGAGGGGGAAGGTAACAGTGTTCTGTGCACTTCAGCGTCGACCATATAACTATGGAAGAGTCTTCAGACAATACTAGTTCTCTCGGCTAAGAAGCAGAGATGAACATTGGCCCCCTAGTCAGACATGACCAGACGGGAAACTTTTGCCTTTTTATATATATAAAACCACTGATAAATTAATGGTCCATTTCTGTTCAGCATAGAAACTACATTTAAAATGCTATTATGAAAATTCAGAAGTGAGAAAAGGCCAGAGTCACCACTCATTGTATGTTTCTTCCAGAATTCACAAGCTTTGCCAGGGTTACATCTGAAGCCTTGTGAAACTTTTTATGGAAGATTTACTTCCACAAAATTGTCAAATTACTCCAGAACAGCAATAGAGTCACCTTACAAGGGAAATGGGTGGCATAAAAAAATTATCAATAATTCAGTCTAGGCATATTAATGAAGAAAATAATATTACAACATTATCCAAAATGTGCTTTTCCCAGATCAGTGGAATTTGTACATAAATAGCATCATAACATGGGAAGAAATTCCTACATGATACCAAAATAAATGGTTTCTCATTCTGATGAAATACGTAATAGTATATTTAAGGAATTGTAAAAGGTTGCTTTGTAATTATATTAAGAAATTTCTGGAATAGTTTACTGTAGGATCCATTGAAGAAAACAAAAAGTAGTCCAACTGCCATCTGCTGTTTGTGATTAATATTGCATCCTTGATCATTTTTAGTGCCTTAGAGAACATTTTGAATTTTGTGATTCCAAAGGGGTTTTTTTTAATCATGTATAAATGTTTCACATATTTAAAGAGTCTGCCTTTCCTATAAAGGTTTATAATGAGTGTTTTATACCATTTTACCCGCTGATTTCAAATTAAATTAATTAAACTGTATGAAAAACAGTTTTGAGGAGGCAATTAAGTTGTTTCAACTGTATCAGAGAAGCTTTTATAAGTATGTATTGCCGAAATCTTGTAATAGGGAGGTCTTTATTGTCAGACCTTCTAGCAGCACAAAGTGAACTCTGATGATAATGGAAGCTCAGATGCCTGCTAGGCTCAAAAATGAGCCATGACTTCAGATTTAAATGAATTGTTTTGTTTTGTAGACTCTAAAATGCCACTTACAAAACTCAAAAATAGTATCCTGGATTATGTATTTAAAATGAGCTTCTCTTTTATGCATTGTCAGCTTAGAAAACTTGCTAGTAATGAGTTTAATTTGAAACAGTATCCCATTTATTCTTATAGTTGTTATTATTCTTTTAAAAAACTAGGAATTAGAAATCTTTACAGTGTTCCATTTCCTCCAGAGAGCTACCAGTTAATTATCATGTTGCTACCTAGGCATTTATTTAGAAGTTTTGCCAGTATTGAATGTTTCCTATGTACATTGAATGGTTCTTCATCATAATTGAGATACTGAAAGCAAATTGAACTGAGTAAGTATGATAGATATTTGCCTCTCCTTGGTAATGCTTCTCTCAAGTTCAATTTTATATAATCTTCATTAGTCCTTTAATGTTTGTAAAAATTACCTGTATCATACATCTTACAATGCTTTAAAAGTGAGTTGATTGAGTACAAATTCATCGTTTATTCTAGGTGGCTGACAGTGGAAGGCCTCAGTTGTCTTCTGTGAGTTATATTGACATTAAAGTCATTGAGGAAAGTATCCATCCTCCTGCAATCCTGCCCTTAGAAATCTTCATCACAATCTTTGGAGAAGAATATGGTGGTGGTGTCATTGGAAAAGTGCATGCAACAGACCAAGATGTTTATGACACTCTAACATACAAACTGGATCCCCAGATGGAATCTCTGTTCAGTGTTTCTAGCACTGGAGGGAAACTGATTGCTCACAAAAAGTTAGATGTAGGACAATACCCCCTGAATGTTACTGTTACAGATGGAAAGTTTACCACTGCAGCTGTCATTGCAGTACATATCAAACAGGTCACACAAGAATTGCTGAATCACAGCATAACTTTTCAGTTTGGAAACCTTGCCCCAGAGGAATTCATTGGTGACTATTGGCGCAATTTTCAAAGAGCTTTAAGGACTTCCTTGGGAGTTAGAAGAAATGATATTCAGATAATCAGCTTGCAACCTTCCGATCATCCATCAAATCTTGATGTACTGCTGTTTGTTGAAAAGGCTGCTAGTTCTCAGCATTCAACCAGAGCCTTGCTCCACAAAATAAATTCCTCTGTGCCTGATCTTGAAGAGATCTCAGGTGTCCAAATTCTTAAAGTTTTTCACAAACTCTGCTTGGGTTTGGATTGCCCTTGGAAATTTTGTAATGAAAAAGTGATGGTGGATGAGAAAATTATGTCAACTCACAGCACGGCTAGACTGAGTTTTGTCACACCACATCACCATAGAAGTGCAGTCTGCCTTTGTAAAGGTAAGAACTATCTATATTCTAAGGTACAAAATTAACTTTCTAAGCTCTTAAGCAGAAAAGCAATAACTGAAGTACAAGAAATATTCTTTGTGTAAAATACAAACATTGACTCCATCCTTATTTAACAGCCACAATTATAAGTATAGCCTTATACTGACCAAAATGTAAAACTGTAGTAGAGTGGAGAGATCAGGCTTTTGACCTCACTATTTCCCAAGTCATGCTGGCTGTAACATCTAGTAAAAGTTTGGAGGATCTGGAGGGAGCTATTATGAGAGGTCTCTAAGAGCTTCATTTTTTCCTATCCATATCTTGATGGCTTTCATAGCTAGCAGTTCTATCCCTAAGGATATTCAGTGTGGGCCTTTAAGAAAACATACATTCTTGGTGTGACTGGAGAATTGCAATTCCTAAAAAATTCTGCCTGACAGCTCCAAAGGATTTGAAAATGATAAACTGTGTATAGTTTACCTAGATCACATAATTTATGAATTCTGTAGAGAGATAGAAAAAAAAAGAAAAAAAAGAGTGCAATCTCAGGTGAGTAATTTTCCCAACAGAATTTGATCTGATAGTAATTTACAACTGAATGATGGAATGATTGCTTGCTGGGTGGCTGTCATATTTTCCTTCCTTCTGCTTTCTGACAGTTATCATTTTCATCACCTGTTGTGCCTGAGCAAAATTAGGATCAAAGGTTTAGGTGCTCCTGCTTGCAGAATTACTGAGAGGAGAGGCAGGAATAAAACTAAAGCCATGCTCTGTTATGTATTTCCCAGATGGAAGATGCCCACTCATGAACAGTATTTGTGAAAGAAATCCATGCCCTGAAGGTACTGAATGCTTAGCTGACCTTCAGGAAGAGAAGTACACTTGTGTTTGTGATGGAAGCACTGCCACCCAGTGCCCTGGTAAGGTTGTATCACTTAATCCTCTTTGTCTAATTCAGATAGACGATCTGCAGTTTTAAATTCTGGTTTGTGGTCTTTCTTTTAAGTTTCAGCAGGACAAGCAGTGACTTTTACTGGAAGCAGTTATGTGAAGTATCGCCTCATAGAAAATGAAAACAAAGAGGAAATGAAACTGACGATGAGGCTCAGAACCTATTCTACTCATGCGGTTGTCATGTATGCCCGAGGAACTGACTACAGTATTTTAGAGGTATGTGGCTCCAAATTCTAAAATCTTTTAATTAACAAAAAGGTTCTGAATTTCATTCTGAATCTGCTCTAGATATAAGCTGCTGCAGACTTAGACTCACTTACTGGATTCCTTTAATTTAATCATCAGGTGAACACCCTACGTTATTAAGTAAAATGCTTTAGATGTTTAGCTAAATATTTAATAATGTAGAATATTTTAGAATAATGTATTTTAATCTTCCAAGTTAATAACCTTTTTGAGCAAAAGTACTCATAATACTCTATAATATAGGTAAGAAGCATGGTGAAAAAATAAATACAATAGATAAAAAGAAGGGGAAACTGAAAGATTCAGAATTACAGAGAATTTACCAGCAATGATTAGGAATTTTAAATGGCATTAATAATTCCAATTAGATCTTTAAGTTTATATGTGTAAATATTCAGACCTCGTTCTACTTAATTGTTGTCATTTTAATGTAAGAAGAAATAAAGCACTATAATTATCTTGCAAAGTTTATAAATCATTAAAAAATTCCTCTTGCATAAAAAATTAGATATGAATTACAGTATTTCTTAGTTAACAGTAGTAATTGTGACTGGAATTTCCATCACTAAGTGAGGTAATCAGAAACCATGACATTCTGTGACCATAACAGTTAATAACAGCAATCCTGGCAGTCCCCATTGCTGTCATTAAGTGAGGTTTACAAGTCATTAAGCAAAGACCTGCTGCAACTTTCTGCCAGTTTCCAACAACCAAAATCAGTAGCAACTCAGGTGCTTTCAAACAGGCTAGCAAGCATGTAAGAGGTTGCTGGGGGGGGGGGGGCAGGGTTTGATATGCAAGTACATCAAGGCTTGTGATGGCTGCTACCAGGTGGGCAAATGTGAGCACAGTAAGGCTTAGGATGACTACTGTGAGGCAGGTGAGGGGGCATAAGGGTCTGGTATGGCACAAGGACAGTGAGGCTCGGGGTGATTTCTGTTGGAGAAAGGAGGGTAAACAAATATCCAATGCAACCCAAGCACAACAAGATTTGGAGTGGCTGCTGTGGATTATGAAATGGTACATGAGGTCCAGCATGGTACAAGCAGAGCAAATCTTGGAGTGGATGCGGCTGGGCGTGGGAAATTTACAATTCACAAGCAACTTGTGACCTTCCTTGCCTGCTTCCCCTGACTTTGCTTGTAGGAAGCTGATAGGAAAGGTTGCAAATGGCAAATATGTGACCATGCAACTATTTTAAGTGCAAGCCAGTTGCCAAATTGCAATCATGTTGCTGGGACAACGAAACTTTGAGGATTGATCGTAAATATCTCTAATTCAACACTTGAATTTTGAATGGTCAATGAATGAGTGTCATTAACAAAGAGTGGGTGAATTTCAGTGATGTTAGATGAACTATGATTGTATAATATAACCACAATTTGATACCCTCTTAGAGGTTGGAATATCTAGTACTGAATTCAAAAAACTAGAGTTGCAGTTCTTAAAGATTTCAGGCAATATGTCAGAGAAGGTTGTTCACATTTGACATTCTTGTAAGTGGAGCCTATAAAATGTCTTCATAGTTAATTGTTACCTTTCTTCTTTCTTTTAGATTCACCATGGGAAACTTCAATACAAATTTGACTGTGGAAGCGGTCCTGGAATTGTGTCTGTGCAGAGCATTCAAATTAGTGATGGCCAGTGGCATTCAGTGTCTCTTGAAGTGGATGGAAACTATGCTAAACTGATTCTAGATAGGGTGCACACTGCCTCTGGTATTGCCCCTGGTACTCTCAGGACACTGAATTTAGATAACCATGTATTTTTTGGTGGTCACATTCGACAGCAGAGTATGAGACATGGAAGGAGCCCACAGGTTAGCAATGGCTTCAGAGGCTGTATGGATTCCATTATACTCAATGGTCAAGAATTGCCCCTAAATAACAAACCTCGGAGTTATGCTCAAATGGAAGAATCTGTGGATGTATCTCCTGGATGTTTACTGACAACTATGGAGGATTGTTCAAGCAGTCCATGCCAGAACGGAGGCATTTGTAATCCACTCCCCACTGGAGGTAAGGTTTGTTGTTTGTTTATTGTTGGTATTTAGCATAGCTTTATTTTGTATGGTTGCAAATGTAATGCTGTACAAGACCACTTTATCTCACTGCAACTTTGTATTAGCTGTTTGGGATACTTTCCAAGTGATAGTCTAAAACCAGACTTTCCCCAGAGCAAGTGAAGAGGTCTTTTCACACGCACACACTACACTTGATCTTAGCCAAAAGGCCGAGAAGGTCTTTTATTTTAACATTAAAAAAAAACTTGCATATCACAGATGCCATTCAGTTCAATTAACCTAAATGTTAAATGCCCTGGTGGAGCAACACTGCTGTGTCTGGTTTTCAAAATACTAGTCTGGTAAAGCTATCTGGACTCTTTATTGTATTTCAACATTTAAAGTTTCATACACCATCAAACTTTTAAAAGGAATGAGGTTTATTACGTTCTTTTGATTGTGATACTGTAATCATTTCTGAAATGGCTATCATATTTACACTTACTTATCCCATAGTAAGATATTATTAAGCTTTATTAACTGGTTCTTTACATCTTTTTAGGCGTGATGCATATCTGTAATGCTTTTGTGCTGATTTATCTAAATTTGGGTTTCAGAAAAGTTCCATTGATTGTCTTTTCTGTGCAGAAAAAAAAAATTCATTTACTTTTGTGAGCACAGTGACATGCTTTCATTCTTGGCTTTCATTGCAGGTTATTATTGTAAGTGTGCAGCTGCATTTATGGGTACACACTGTGAAGTAAATATCAACCCATGTGCTTCCAATCCCTGCCTTTATGGTGGCACTTGTATTTCCATCAATGATGAATTCATCTGCCAGTGCAGAGGGCTATATACAGGTCAGAGGTAGGATGCCTTTTTCTAACTGTTGAAATAAATTTTATCACAGTATATTTATCTTGACAGTATTACCTCTATAATATTGTCTGCTTGCAAGTGTACTTTGAGAAAATGGTCTGTGTGAGCATTGCATCCATTTACTTTGTTTGAAGCAGAAGAAGGTTTTCATGTATGCTTGAAGAAGTAAGGTACAAATGAGGACAGGCTTGTGCATATAATCATATGTCTCATTCAGTCATTCTTGTGGAGAGTCAAAACATGCTATGGATTTTGTAGAATGCACATTTATTGGAAAATCAAGGTTTGACCTGCAAGAATTGTAAAAAGAAGCAGTTGAAATCTATGATATATCTGTTTATGTTCAGGGCAAATGTTAATAATCCTTGAATCATATTGTGACTCATGCCATTTAGTACACAAAATAACTTTCCACAGCCTCCTGGCTTGATATGCTGAAGTTGGCAAGGGTACATTCATAGCTCATCAGATTTGAATGATTGATTTAGGAGGTAATTGACTTATCTTTTTTCCCTTAGGTGTCAGATTGGTCCATATTGCAAAGACAACCCCTGTAAGAATAGTGGCAAATGTATTGATAGCTTAGATGGTCCTGTTTGTGAATGTGAGGCTGGTTTTCATGGTGAGAGGTAGGTAACTTTTGTACAATTAACAGTTTTAATTGCTCTAGTTTACATAGCATGTAGAATAAAAATTCTTATGGGGGGGGTAGTAGCCTAGAATGTTACCTATCCATTTTTAAAGCTTAGTTCTATCATAAGAGGCTGAAACATAAATTCAACCATGAAGATGGTCCTGGAATGGTCTCTGAATACAGAACATTATGATCAAAGATAACTTGTATTACTATCTATGTTCATTTGACACACGAGACAAGGACTTGTCTAAATTTTAGTTTATCAGCAAATAGTCATCCCCACTGGCTTGCTGTGCAGCTAGCAAACCATGAATATTACTAAGTATAATTTGTTTTTTGTGGTGTTGAGGTAGGCTTCTTGGAATAAATCAAAGAGAAGAACTCCATGTTCTTGTTTAGAAGACATAGCCTATAAAGTACAAATAGAACTGTTTACAGTATAAGCCAGCAAATTTCTTGAATTGCATAAAACAACAGTATTTGGGGGATAGTAAATTAGGATTTTTTGGGGGGAAAAATGAAGCTTGCTATGTCATATTAATTGACTATGTATTGTAAAATAGCCTAATACTAAACTAATGTAAGATGAGCATGGTTTTAAAATTGGAGGAAGAAACATCAATAAAATATACTGTGTTGATGACATAGATCAGTGATGGCGACTATTTTAGAGACCGAGTGTCCAAAAACTGGCCCCGCCCCATTCTACCCTCTGCCCCGCCCCTGCTCCACCCCATCCCCCACCCCGCCTGCCCGCAGGGCCACTCACCGCCTCCAGGGCCCACCGCAGATCACCCAGGCAGCCCAGTAGGGCCATGGCAGCCACACACTCTGCCCGCCCCCCTCAGCATCAACTGTGCACGATGGGGCGTGAGAGCAGAGTCTTGTCTACGCTGCCTGGCTGCCATGTCCTTGGCTGCACTGCTTCACGTGGGCCACGCCTGGGGGCGACTCTCCTCCAGGGGGGCTGCTGGTGAGGAGGGGGTCACGGAGGAGGCGAGGCTGGGGCAACGGCATGTGTGCTCACAGAGAGGGCTCCTAGTGCCACCTCTGGCACGTGTGCCATAGGTTCGCCACCACTGACATAGATATAACAGCAACTTCTAGTAATGAAAGCCAAGGTGCATATTGAAAAAATTAAATATAAAGAAGATAAAACTAATGACAATGGATAAAACATGAGCCTTAGGATTAATAATTAATATATCCAAGTGATAGTTTCTTCCTTTTGGGGCCAAGCAAGGTAGATGGCTCAGTTACAGTGGTAATGTGCAAAATTGCACGCAGTCAAGAAATACACCAAACTAGAACCTGGTAGAGCATTGATGAAAGTCTTAGAAAAATATTCAGATGCCATGATAGTATGTACAAAGTATCTACACAGATCAGAATAGTGCAAGCCATGAAATTTTCCTGTGATACTCTGTGGAAGTGAAAGTTGAAGCTTTTGAATTTTGGTATTGGAGAAGACTCCTGAGAATACAATGGACAGCCAAGAAAATATACAAATAGATCTTGAACAAATCAACACAGAATTTTCACTAGAAGTACAAATGTCCAGGATCCAAAATTATCCTACTTCAGACAGATTATGTAAAGACTTAGCTCTGGAGAAAACTTTAATGCTGGAAAAGATGGAAGGAAAGATAGAGTATGACTAGAAGTATAATTGGTCTCTGAAGTTGCATTGCAGCATCCCCATGGTCTGGTGATAAAAATTCAGACATTTGGCAACCTGCCCACAATTATGACCATACGTGTGCTTCAGTTCCTACCACCTGCTTATTTTCTACTCTTCCAATATCTCCACCTTTTTGGCTGCTTTGTACTTTATGATAAATCTCTGCTGCACCCAGCTAACCTTTGCTATTGTCTTCTTCCTGCTGATGGCCTCGTATCCAGGCGCTGGGCAAAGGCCTGGGATATGTGTGGTGTGTGCAACAGCACAGCAGAACCTCATTTGCCAAAGGAAGCTTGACACAAACATTGGCATTAAAAAAAAATTACTTTTTTGCTTATCTGGATTGTAGCAAATGTGCACCCTAAGACACTCTTTGCAAAAACAGGAAATGGTGAGAAACATAGGAAAGTTTGCCACACCAAATTTTAGCACTAGTTTTAGAGTTTTCTTCGTGGCAATAATATCTGTAAAAAAAAGGGGGGGTTGTCTGTCTATCTGTCTAGAAAAGTTGTTGATTAGGTTAGGGACTTCTTCATCTTCACCAACCATGGCAACAAAGTGTTTAATTGTGCTCAGCTGTTTGACCATCGAACAGGAGTGTCCAACCATGGGAACTTTAAGACTTGTGGACTTCAACTCCAAGAATGACTGGCTGGGGAATTCTGGGAGTTGAAATCCACAAGTCTTAAAGTTGCCATAGTTGGACTGCCTCAGCATATAATTTCATCAGCAATGGTTTTATCTGTAGAACTGTTATTTGGAAAAATCTCATTCTGCTGTAATGAGAACCGATTATTAACTAAAAGGCAGCCTTTTCTCCTATCCATAGTGCAATCTTTCCTTCCACTTCTCTGTGGGTGCCCCCGTCCTCTGGAACGATCTACCCCCCGAGATCCGGATGATTCCGGATCTCTCTACTTTCCGCCGCGCCCTCAAGACATGGCTTTTCCAGCAAGCGGGCCTGGCCTAGAGAGGATTTTAAATCGGGTTTATTTTAAGGAAATTTTAAACAGGAAATCACAACGTTAAATATTTGGCTTTTAATTGGTTTTATTTGGTGGGGATTGTGGGTATGTTTTTGTTTTTAAATAGGTTGTGAGCCGCCCTGAGTCCCGTTGGGAGAAGGGCGGGATATAAATCAAAATAATAAATAAATAAAATAAATAAATAAATATATGCATTCACTTTTTTATTTTGTCAATGAAGTGCAGTAATCCTGAAATTATTTTTCCCAAGAGCGACTTTTGACATACTCGATATTCCAAGCAATAGTCCCCAGATTGCAGAAAGCAAAGTAGAAGAGCCTTATCTCCCACTTGCTTGTTGGGATGACCACAAACCAATTGGGAAAATGGATCAGAATGGAAGAGTAACTTAAGCAAAGTGGTTGGATGCAGTAAGATTACCAGGTTCTAGTTTGCTGTGATTGACCTAGAAAAGTGAACTTATTTTTTGTTCCCAGCAGGAGTTCAGTTTATAGCCTACTACAGTTTATATGATAAGAATCTTGGCATCTATAAACTGTGAGTGTGTAACTTGGATAATACACTGTTGGTATTCACAGACTGACATCTTTTAATGTTTTGTAGGTGCCTAACTGATGTTGATGAATGCATAGAAAACCCATGTCTGAATGGCGCTCTGTGTGAGAATACATATGGTGCTTATAACTGTAACTGTAGTCATGGATTTGGAGGAAAACATTGTGTTGAGGTCCTTAATAAATATGTTTCAACTTCCTGGAACATTGGCTTAGCCGAAGCAATTGGAATAATCATTTTCATAGCAACAATCTTAGTCCTAGTTGGGGTTTTTGTTTTCTGTCGCCGAATGATCAGAAAAAAGAGGAAAAGCCAGCCACAACCAGAAGACAAACACCTAGGAACCACAACAGCTTTCTTGCAAAGACCATACTTTGATTCCAAACTGAATAAGAACATTTATTCTGACATTCCACCTCAGGTGCCTGTACGCCCCATTTCATATACTCCAAGCATTCCAAGTGACTCTAGAAACAACTTGGACAGAAATTCTTTTGAAGGTTCCACTATTCCAGAACATCCAGAGTTTACTACTTTTAACCCTGACTCTGTACATGGTCATAGAAAAACAGTGGCTGTTTGCAGTGTAGCTCCTAATTTGCCACCACCTCCTCCATCCAATTCTCCATCAGACAGTGACTCAATACAGAAACCCAGCTGGGATTTTGATTATGACAGTAAGTGTTCCTTTTCTTTCTATTAAAAAAGATTTGCTGATAGATGTTGAGACGTGTGTCTTGCAATAAGATTATCAATCATAGACTAGGAATAAAGTGACTGGGGACAATTTAGAGTGTAAGCTAAACATCAAGTAGCAAAGTCACTTTTTTTATCATTTATGTAGTAAATTATTCTCTCTGATACTTAATTAGGATGGTTGAATGCAAGTGAAATGTGATCATCCAAAAACTTTTTTCTGTACAATCAGAAAGGCCCTGGAAACTCAAACGGTAGATGTGTATGCACTTCTGAAAAAAGTAATGCAGCATTTCCTCTTTTCTCTACTTCCATGCACAATGATTTATACAGATTTGTGAGATTCCACAGTTTTTGAAACCATAGAAATAAGAAAATTTCTAATTAGAGAGGAAACGTCTGGATTACATGGAACACTAAAGACAGAAAATCCTGTTTGTACCACTGGCTTTTGTAGAGCATAAAGGAACATGCTACTTTCCTAATTTCAATATGTTCAAATAAGAGTTACTTTACTATTGAAAACACCAAAAACAATGAAAAGGTGGAGTGAGGAGAAATGAAAAACGTTGAGTGCTCAAGCCACTTAATTGTTTTATAATATGCATCTTTTAACAGTGGACATAGGATTTAGGAAACATATGCCATGAAAAATTACCCAGTCACTGACATTTCCAGCACAACATGGAGAAGGGAGGATCCATTCACCTTTCTCTGTTGTATTCTATGTGGGAACATATTGTTTATACCAGCTAATGTCTGCTCCCATCCCTTTCATTAAGCCTACGTGAGATCTACAGAAAGGCACACCTAATAAAATTAGTACATATCTTTCATATTCCTTTTATATTTCTTGTGCTATTTTATGAGGTAAACTGATTCCATTCCGATGATCCTTAATTTTATGGGGGGGGGTGGTTTCCCTGTCTTAGCTAAAGTTGTGGATCTTGATTCCTGCCTGCCAAAGAAGCCTCTGGAAGAAAAGGAGTCTCAGCCTTACAGTGCTCGGGAAAGTATGTCCGAGGTCCAGTCCCTCAGCTCGTTCCAGTCAGAATCATGTGATGACAATGGTAGGTACACAACAGATCCTTATTGGTCATTGCTGCATCTTAGTTTTCTTCAGCTTGGGGCGCTTCAGACATGTAGAATTACAACTTTTCCTTTTTGGGATTTGTGCAACACCATCAAAAGGACACCAAGTGGAGGAAGCCTGCCCTCTACTTAACTTTCATCATCAGATAATCTGTTTTATACTTGCATAATCAATATCATAATATTCTATAGGAATGTACGTGTTCCACATAATATAAATTGGCTCAGTAAAATTGTTAAATCAGTTAATATATCCTAGTTTGATAGGTAATTGATTATATATACAACTAAATAATTCTTTTGCAAAATAATCCTGTGGAAGTATAAACATTAGCTGTTTGGTGCTAATGTTAGGCTATAAACGTCTAAAATTGGGTTACAGCTTTGTTTGTTTCCTTTTTTCTCCCTTGCTGCTGCTGCTGCCTCAGCTCCCATATGGATCAGAGCAGTACTGAGCGAAAGCAGAGTATAAGGGATTTGCTTGTAAGTCTGATTACATAAGTAATGAAGGAAGTTGTCCCCAGGGGCTTTATTATAAATGTTTGCTTTATGCCATGATAAGGGCTAAATATCTCTTTAGTCTTTATCATGGCATAATGTGCTCTTTGTGCATTAAAAATATTCCACTTAACAGAATCACACTATAATCTTAACGGGAAAACATTCTGAAAGTTGCGTGACCCATCAAGTATACCCAGAAAATCTGTTTTTACTTTTTTAAAAAATTTGACTTAACCCTAAGTATTTTTTCCTTTAAATTACCACGAAGTTTGCTACTTTTAAAATATTTTTGTAAATTTTAATTAGTATATCAAAACACATTTTTATGATAAAATGTTACATATTAAAACTTCCTTTTATTACTTTTTTAAAAAGTAAATTTTATTGATTTATGGCTTTTCATGAAATGTGTGTGTGTGTATGTGTTTCTTAGTAGATAATAAAACTACTTTTGTCAAGTTCCAGAAGTTTCAAAATGTTTCTCCTGTTTTTTATCACACTAGAAATGGTTCTTTTTTCTGTAAATCTGAATGCTGTTTCCAAATAAGTTAATATAATACAGCATGATAAGAAAAGAATAGCAATGACAAATATCATAATTGTAGCCTGCGCAGATAATAATTAAGAAGAAGCAAAGAAATAGAGCCAGCAATTTGGCTACTTAAATCAAACCTTCTCCCACCCTCCAGTTTGACTTTTAAGCTGTGATTTGTTTTCTTACGCCCTATTACTTCTAGTAACACACTTCCTTTTTCAATATTGTCAACTTCATCTCATTTTGTATTCCACTTTACACCTAATTAAGGATGCTTGGGACAGCTAACAAAATAAAATGCAAATGCAAATTTAAAAGCACAATTCAGAAATGTAATTAAACCTCTCTGAAATACTGTTCCACTTTATGCTTCCTTTTTCCACCTCTATTTGCACTAATTCTAATCCTAATTGTCTTCCGGCCATTGCTTCTGTTAATTTTGAACTAGTTCCTATAAAACTCCTGCCTTAGCCTATTAAAAGGAACCTCAATTTTATTTTGTGGGGAGAAAAACCCATAGACTCTGCCTTGTCCCTGTGCTTTGCAAGATTTTGTAAAATAGTCTTCCCCTGTCCTTTCTTCCTATCCCTACCACTGCCTTTTTACCTGTCAGTTTTCCAGGTGTCACCACAACCTTCACAAAAAACTTTCTAGAAAACCTGTTTCTCTACATCTTGCCTACACAAAAGATGGATTATGTACTGCATTGTATTTATTTCCCTAATAAATGGTTGCTTGCAGATATGCAGGTGGCAAGCCACAGGGGATACACATATTTGGGGTTAATTGCTCTGACTGGCATTCTTCACACTTTTTAAAACTCACTTTCTTGTATCAGTAAATCTAAAGATGTTCCCTGCAATTTGATAGTAACCTAATTCAGACATAATTCAAAACAAATTGAATCCAGGTGCAGTGTACGAATTTGATGATGATCCATATCCTGGTAAATTAATGCTTTTCTCCAAAAAGATTAGTGCAATAGTGAAAGGCTTGAACCCACTTCTGTTTGCACACACTATTCATGTGTGCGATTTATAATTGCTATATTGCATTTTTATTTGACAATCTATATACCAGTATGAAAAGAAGAGTGAATGAGTATAAATGATTGTTAAAACTATGTGCATGTTTCTCTTTGCAATCCATTTTTAGTTTTGGTAACTTTTCTAAGCCATTCATGTAGATAGGATTGATTGTTGATATTTGCAGGTTAAAAAAGTTTTCATTCTACTAGAGATTGTAATTCAATTGAATGTCTCTGTATAATCAAAATGAAACAATGCTAGTGCTAATCTGCAGTGGGAAGGTGTATTTTTTGTACGAGTGTTTTAAATTTTACATTGCATGTAATTTTTATAGAAAATATAAGTCTTATTATTAATTCATGTTGATAATGCTATTTGAAATGGTTGCTAATCATAGGTTGTTTTTTTTTAATTTACTCCTTCCATACTTTTTACAAGCTTCCCTAGTGACTGTAATACACCTTGTCAATGCTGTTGTTGACTCGGTGGGAAAAGAAGGTATATAGCTTTCATTTTTATTTATTGTCTGTGTAGAACATTGCATGCCCTATACTTTAAGCAAGAAACATTGGAAGATAATGTACAATATTTGCTTTATTATTAGTAATGTATGCTGTATATACTTGGTCTATATTTTTAAAATAGACATCTTTATTGATTTATGAAGGAGCCTAAATGAGATGTCTAATGTACCCCTGTATTGTTCTGACTTGATTTCCCAAAAGTCCACATCCACACAGAAGTCTGTAATACTCAAATGGCTAATTCAAGAATATGAATGGTAACATTCCACAATCCTCAAGATGCATAAATGATAGCATTAGCAAGATCATAAGATGTTCCTATAGTCCCCCCTAACTTTATTCTTCTGGTGCAGTTCCCCTATGCAAATTCTTAAGTATTGGAAGGTTGAGATAAAGTTAGTGATGGTTGTGCTTGTAGAGAAAATGTAAAGTTTCTTCCTGCTGAGAAAAAAAAAAGTTGAATGTGAATGGATGAAGTTGTGGTCTTCATCAACCCAAAAACTTATTCACCCATGATTTGCATTCTACAAGCTTTCTAAATACTGCATAACTATAAAAGAGTTCCCTTTTTCTGTGTTCATGTATTGATAACTAATGGGATTATTGACAACAATGGTATTAAAGCATAAAGCATAACAGTTAAAAGTTTGTCTAATAATGCATCTGCATCCACCATGGAAAAACTCCAGATAAATTAGAACTTTGATTGCTGGAATTTCCAGTTGGGATGGACATAATGTCTAAATACATCTGGAGTGGATCAGATTGGAATAAATTTGTGTCAATAGTAGAATGCAGATCAAGAGTTTATTGTACTGATAAAATGTACAAATTATGAAACAGCAAGACACTGATTTATATTTTAGCTCAAGTATTCAGAAATGAAGGATTCCACAGAATAAAGCAATTCTTCTGCCCCCACTTCTATAATAATATTGGTGAAAAGGTTATTAAATGGCTGCAATCGTATGAATAACAAATAGTAGTATACATATTCATTTCAGTTCATATACAATTCAGTTCAGTTCTTTGACAGATTTTTTTCCATTTTGCATACATTTATTATTTGCTTACATGAAAGGCATAATCCAGATAGAATAATCTCTAAATATTCATTTTCTGTTCTGCATATAGATCTCATCCCATATTGAGAAAATTCTTTTAATTTATTTTTATATATACAAGTGTTCCCAACTGGGCAGGAAGACAGAATAGTTTGCAGTGTAGGAACTGTTTAAAATAAGTGTGTAAGAACAACTAATATTTCAGGTCTTCTTGTTTCTCTTGGCATTCAGGTTAGTGCAAGGTGACAGTGTTACTTATAATAAGACTGAATTTACAAATCTATATTGACTATTTGAATACAGCAAACTCCCGCATCTAATGTCCTCCATATGTATTACACAATTCTCAGAATTCCAAGCAAGACGGCTAGAAAAGAGATAATGAAATCTAGTTCAAACACAGCTGAAGGACATCATATTAGGCAGAATGATAATTGGCCAATAACACAAATATTCCAGCAATAACAATATGAAACTAATTATGTTAATTAGATTTTCTATATATAGAAATACATATATCCATATATCTTCTATACAAAAAGCACTACAAGTAGTATTTCTGAAATACCATATACTAAAAGTGTTGCTTACGTGCTGCTATTCATGCGTGTGATAACTTAAAAGAGTAGGAGAAAGAGAAGGTGTAATGGATGATCTTTGTTCCTGGAGGCTCCTGATACAACATAGGGGAAGCAACTAACAAAAATCACACAAATTCTCTAAATGCTACAAAATCACTGTCTACAAATAAGGCTGTGGAAAACCCATGTCTTACAATAATACACACATAAACACTTTTTTAAAGGAAAAAAGCCAGTGTCTACCTGGTGAGCCCTGAACATGGTTAGAGTAGACCATGTAGCCACAATGGTCAGGGCCCTAGAAAAGTAAACAAGGCAAGATGAAGTGAGTCCAGTCAGTTATACTTATTCATCAACTTTCAGACTTAAAATATCATCCTTCACATTTATTCATCGGCATACCCATTCTTATTCTTGTAACATACACATACATTTATATAGGAACATCTGTCTGTTTAAATATATGCAGAAACAATTTCACACATATAAAACATGCACCCAACACATTCTTGCATATCACAAATGACTACCTAGATGCACCCTTCTATGTGCTTGGCTGGGTTTGATAGTAATAAAAAGCTTTCTTCAAAACTGATTGCTATCTCCCAAGGGTGGTATGTGATAACCATACCACATTCTTCTGCTGATGAAGATTCCTGGCATGAAAGAAGCCTCCCTTTGGCAATGCTAGGAAGGAGGTTTCAGACCAATGAGAGCAGTGTTTTGCAACCCTAGCAACTTTAGAAGGTGTGGACTTAAAACTCCCAAAATTCTCTTAGCCAGAAGGCAAGCTGCCTGAGGAATTTTGGGTGTCGAAGACCACATAGTGTAAAATTGTCAAGACTGAGAAACACTGAGGTAGGGAGATTCTGTAGGCCACATTTAGCTTGACATCTAATGGTTTTCTTTGTTACTCTTAGCAGTGGTACAAGATCAGTGTGGATATTAAAATAAACCAAACCAAACAAGATCAAGATTTATACTTTTCAAAAATTGCCTAGGGCTCAGACATTTATTGTTGTTGTTGTTATTTATTTATTAGCTTTATATCACACCTTCCTATCTATATGATAGCTTTGATCTATTTACAGCTTGCAACTGTAAATGTACAAAATATAAGCTAAAACAAATTAAAATCCATTTGAAATCAGTAATTAAACAGGTAAGTTAACAGCTACAAGCTTGACAAAAAAAAATGTTTTTACTAATTTCCCAAATTTTAGGACAGTGTGACCCAGCTCTCTCTACCTAAGGCACGCATTCCATAGCCACATATGAAAAGGTGTTTCCTCCATGAATGATAGTGGAGTGTCTTCATAACTAAAGAGGACATCTTCAGATGGATGTCCCTGATAATTTGGAAGTTCATGAGGTTCATAATAAGCACTTTTATTAGATCCAAGGAGGCACATAACTAATTTCACGCACCCAAATTTGACTGAGATACAGAATCGCCTTTTGAAACAGAGATTACTTTTTTTGTAAGGTTATTTGATGAATATTATCATCATCTAGCTACTAACCTAATATTTCTTCATGGATCTCTGCCTTTGCTATATAGTTCCATAACTGTAATAAAATGAACATGAATTTGTGTGACATCACGCTATCATGTAGGGTTTAGGGCCATTACAATTTTGGAACTAATCAACTGAATGTGTTTTCCCTCTCTTTTTGCCTGTCTTCTAAAGAGTCTTTTGCTGTTCCTGACCTGGGCAATTCAAGAGGTGACTTCTGCATGTAGATGTTCAGTGATGCTCATTTAAATGTACACAGCACTAACTTGCCTTTAATTGGTTGCTTAGTATGTGTTTGTGTTGTAATTCATACACTTTATTCCAATGTTTTAAAATACACCTTTTTAGAATTTGTCATGAATTGGAGAAGTGTTATTTTTTTTGTAACACTGCAATGTTTTTGTAGTCAAATTAGTTCATCTTTATTTTCAGCATAATTTTATATTTGTTCTACAACACAAAGCAGTTTTGGAATTTTTGCATGGTGAGCTTAATATCTGTTTTGACATGAATGTCTGAATGCTGTTACTAATACTTAAAAAAATCAGATATTCAATTATATTTTTAAACTCTGTTAAAGAGCTGATAGGTAGGTCATTGATAATATTAGTGACAGTAATATTAACCATTAACCATTTTTTTAAATTCAATCCTAAATTTATTGGTCCCAATCCAGATCAAAGATAACCTTATGTTTGTACGATTTGCATACCGTGCATATTCCTAAATCTGTTCATTCTGTTTTTACTTTAGTGTATGCTTTTTTAAAAAAAAAAATACATATTAATACTTAAATAAATCTATTTCTTGTATATCAGGAGAAATATCCTAAAATTACTGCAGTCTGTTCATATCTGTTAAAAGGTAAAAGAACAAAGAAAAAAGTTCCTGAAATACCAACTTTGTTCCTACAGTATGCACTCGGGTGTGTGTATATATATATACACACACACATATAAACATGCACATACAATATATATTAAAATAAGTTTTTGAATCTTAGATTACAAATGGGGAAATTGACAGTTTGAACAACTACTGCATATTTTAGACTGGAAAAGCAATATAGGTCAGTTGCCAAAAATGGATTTTAAAAAATCCTATTTCAAAACCATTGAAGTCAGTAATTCATCAAAAAAAATCTACTTTCCATTAATTGTAATAGATAATTCCTGTATTTCTATATACCTTTACTGAGAAGAAAATACTGCTAAACCCAGTGAGATTTATTTCTAAATAAACCTGGATCAGAATAATGGAGTACAAGCATTACAAGCAAAGAAGTGCTTTTAATAACTGGCTGCCACTTACCTGGTAATTGGCAGTTGTATTCTTTTACCCAAAGAATGATGCTATTCCTGGGACATCCAACCTTGGCAATTTTAAGACTTTGGACTTCAATTTCCAAAATTCCCTGGCTGGGGAATTCTGGAAGTTGAAATTAACAGGTCTTAAAAGTTGCTATGCAACTACATCTTTTCACAACTTATCATAAGATATATTGAAATTAAGCTAATTCAAACTTGGATAATACATTATATATTGCATGAACTTGTGGTAATAACAATGAATGTCTTCATTAACCGTTGGGAGCAAATTGCTCCAGTTATTCCCATTCTGTAATCATGGTTGGCTGAGTTGCTCTTAATGCATTTTGCTTTGGTTTTTCAGTAGATCTTTCTTTATTTATGTTCTCTAGGCTATCACTGGGATACTTCTGACTGGATGCCAAATGTCCAACTGCCTGGCATACAAGAATATCCAAATTATGAAGTTGTTGAAGAGACGGCACCTCTGTACACAGATCCAAATTCAATTGATGCTGACTATTATGCTGGAGGTTATGACATTGAAAGTGACTTTCCACCTCCACCAGATGATTTCCCTGTTCCTGATGACCTCCCACCCTTGCCACCAGAATATAATGATCAGTTTGATTCCGTACAGCAATCCAGGGACGTATCTGCTGTAGGTAGCTTAGAGTCTTCGGTGAGGAGCAGGCAAAGATTCAATCTCAACCAGTATCTTCCCCATCACTACCCTTCAGACATTTCAGAACCTCAGAACACAATAAATGGAATCCCTACAAATTTCCAAGAAACTTTTGCTCCTTACACTGTAGGCTACAGCAGAGACCCTGTAGAGAACATGTCCATTTCTGCATATGCTTCCACAGCTTCATGCTCCGATATGTCAGCATGCTGTGAAATGGAGTCTGAGGTAATGATGAGTGACTGTGAAAGTGGGGATGACAGCCATTTTGAAGATGTGATCATTCCACCACTTGATCCTCAGCAGCACACAGAAGTCTGATACTCTTCCTAAAATAAAATTTAAAAAGTGCCTGGATGCTAATGAACTAAAAAAAAAGAAAAAGGATTGTAGAGAATCTTGAAGAGCTTTTTCCCTCCCTGGCAATGCTTGAGCGCTATTATTTCAGTGAACTAAAACTGGCATGGCTGCAATGGAATATGCAGCTCATATTAACCAATTTTCCATTTTTTTCCTCCTGCAGTTTCACTAATCACAGGTCTCCTGTGTATTTTTTTTTTTTGTACTTTCATTGTCTATGTTAGAAACAAAAAAACACCACTTCCTCATTTTAGCATGATAAATGTATTTATATTATTCAGAAGCAAATCATTTTTCTTATATTTTTGTAAATTTTATGTACAGTTTTGATTTTGGTAATTTTACCTAGATTTTGTAGATAATTTTAAGGTCGATTTCCACTGATTTAGTGGTGTTCTGTGTGCCATTAAACCCTGGGCTTCATTATACAGTAGTGGCCAAAATTGTGGAAACCTTTTGGGAAAAGTGCAGTAGAAATGCCACCTTTGGCTAAGTTTCCACCAATTTTTCTTCTAATTTCTTTATAACTGTAGCCTTGTTCACTTAATAATACTATTTTACATTGCTTTCTGGGCAACCAGTCAACTTTTTGCACCATTACTTTAATTTTATTACGTTTTACAAGCTCACTAAATGAAAGAACACAAAAAAAACCCAACCAACTTGATAGCGATCACATAGCACACTGACAAATGTCCTCTCAGCTTCAATACATGACATCAATAACTGAATCCTACTGTGATCTGATTGGCTCATTGCCAAAACAAGATGACACCTGATTGGCTCTCTAAACACTCATGCTCATTGACTACAATCAAATGAAGGAAAGCTACCTGATATCAACCTAAGCAAGTTGTACTTCCTTTTCCTGGTTATTTGGCTATAACTTTTCATAGAATACAGTAAAGATAATTGAACAAACTTCATTGCATTACATTCTTGATTAAATTATCTTTCCATTGATATATAATTTTATGGTACTACTCCAAACAAAAAGTGTTATTAGCCATCAAACCTCAAAAATACACTTTTCCCAAAAGGTTTCCACAATTTTGGCCACTACTGTATTCAGGAATCACTATACAGTAAACCCTTGACTGAACAGTTCTCTCTTTAGCAGGGTTACAATGCAAAGGATATTGCCGACCTATGCACTGTATAACTTCTGTGTCTGTACGTATAGAATCCTATTCACTGTGCAGCTTAAAATCAGATTCAGATTTTACACAACACAGAGTGCTGAACAGATGCTCTTCCCCTTATTAGTTCATTAAATCAAAGGTTTACTGTATTTACATTTGTTCTCACAGAAAATCAGTGTTATCACTTATATATTTCAGTGTAATAACCCATGCATTTCCAATTGTACATAATTTCCAGCTGTAAAACATATCTGATATTTTCTGGCAAAAAACATAGCAGTGTCTTACACAAGTTTCTGTATTCTGGAACAGTATCCATTTTTTCTTTTCCTGAACAGTGTGTTGAGCCCCACTGCATTCCTGTTTAGAACCAAAATCACAGCACAGTTTTTATAGTGTCTGTATATTTGTGATGCAGCAGTCTTGTAAAGGTTTTTACTGAAATCTACCATTAGTCAGTCTTTCTTACAGATAATAAATTATTAATAAAATACTCTAGCTTTGTTTACTCTATTTCATTCATTTTTATATATAAATTTATAAATCTATAAGTAGTAAAATGTAAAGTTGCTTCCTACAACCAAGCTCTGATTGTGTGCAGTCAATCCACTAGGTGGCAGTAGGAGCTTATTCATTTTTTAAAAAAAAAAATCAAATACATGGTTCATGATACAGAGATAGTAGATAACATACTTAAGAATGATATCTTTCATATATTGCCTGTTACACTGCAGTGCGTTATCATGGTAAAAATACACAGAATAGAATGGAAGACTCACGAGTTACTTGTTAAATAGTTGTTCTATGATACCCTTATTGCTGTTGCCAGAAATTTCAAACATCTTTTAGTTTATTAGTGATGCCTTTAGTAAATGAACCTTTCAGCTGTTCAAGTTTATTGAGTACATAGTGTTTTGTATCAATATAAAATTGGATCATATTTAGCTATAAACTATATCTTGAACTGCTTGGGCTAACTCTGGGCAGATGTGCTCCAACCTTATGCCAACTTATGCCAAGTCACAGAGGACTTTATAAAACCAGCATTTCAAATTGTATCGAGCTGATACAGAGCCTGTTAAACAGATACCATGTGCGCCCACCAAGCCAACACTGGTGAGCACTCAGGACACTATATTTTGTGCCAACAGACTGTCCCAGGTTTGCTTTGTTGAATGAAGAAAGCACAATGAAATTATCCCTCGTATCTTTCAAGCAATCAAGCTTGACAATCTGAAGTGTAACAGTGTATTATATACAATGGTATGAGGAAGCTTAACTGCACTTTTCACAAACTTTGGGTTTTCATATTGTTGATTTCCCACCCTTGAACTGTCTACATACAGTGAATATGGAAATCGTCTTTTGCAAGCTGTATCAAAATAAATTTACCTCAGTGTAACTTCTGGAAAAGAATTTCCCAGTTGATTCTGTTATTTATGTGCACCAAAGAACAAAATAATTATATTTAGTTTTGACTATTACACCTTAAGAGCATTTCAGGGATGGTATGTGAATACGGATAGTCTTCAACTTAATGAACATTTGTTTAAGGGCCATTTGAACTTATGACAGTGCTGAAAAAGATGACTTATGACCAGTCCTTTCACTTAACAGCCATTGCTGTGTTCCATAATCACACAATCGCAATTTGTGATCTTTCCAGGGAGCTTCCTGGAAAGCAAAGTAGGTTGGGAAAGCCAGATTCGCTTAACAACTTCATGCTTCACTTAATGGTCACAGCAAAAGAGGTTGTAGGTTATAAAATCAGGCATGAGTGACTTAAATGACCATAATTGCTTAATGATGGATGTTCTGGCCCCAATTGTCATAGATCAAGGACTGCTTGTATATTTTCTATTTTAAAAAAAACCCAGTATGAGAACATATTTCCAGTGAGATTTAGCATCACTGGAAAAATTTCATGATTAGCCTTGGAGAAATGCTGGTTTCTGACAGTCAGTTTTACTCTTCTGAGAGTAAATGAATCTAGTAAATTGAATCCTATGAGGTCAGTAATTTTGGCAGGTGCTGGGAAATATAACAGAAACATGAATGTTTTCTTGATTTTATAAAGTTTTGTAGTTACATCAAAAAATGGCATCCAATAAAATGGCCTTCCAATAATAGGGCATAATACAATTTTCCACTGCGAAGAGCTGCTTTTTACAGTTGGTGAGACACCATGTGGCGAAAATTGCCTACTTGAACTCTCTACACTAGGGGTGTCAAACTCGCAACGTCATGTGATGTGTCATGACATATCGCAACTTTTTTGCCATTGCCACAATGGGGTGGGCATGGTTTCGCTATGATGCATCTGGCCCGTGGGCTGGCAGTTTGACACCCTTGCTCTACAACAATATTTTTCAACTTCAGTTAGAGGACTCCAATTCCCAGAATTCCCCAATCTGCAATAGTGCCCAACGTGGAGAGGCATCTGCCCTACCGAGGGGGGGGCATGCATAACATGTCTCTGCTCGGTAGCAAAATGGGAAGCTGGTACCAAAGACTGCAGTGAATCGGCTATCCAGATCTATCCCAGGGAAGGCACCTCTACCTGATTGGAGGAAGCTGCTGCTCTAGAAGACTCCCCGAGGCCGAGATGGTCACTCGGTGTCAGGAATAAAGAGAATTGGGAAGAAAGAACCCAAAGAATAACTTTCACCCAAGGAGGTCAGAAGAAGACTTGAAAGAAAAGGATGGAAATGCTCTCTGACAATGAAGAACTGGACAGGCAGTCAGACCTAAAGGAGGGGATCTTGAAGTGAGCCATGCATTACATGGTGGAAGCTTTTGAGGACCTAAAAGCCAAATCCCTGGGTTGCCAAGAAAAGGAGGAAGAACTAGCTGAGGAAGTCGAATGCAGTGAAGGAAAGACCATAATCACCGAGGTGGCAGGCGGGGCTGTGGGGTTGACAGAAACGGTGGCGGCTACTCCAGTAGACCAACAGCGAGCCACCCCTCAGAGAGCTCGGTCTCCACAACCACCTTAACAGAGGACTCCCCTGGATGAGCCAAAGCTAGTTCCATTAGGAGTTAAATTCGATGGGGATCCTTAACAATTGGGAATCTTCTTGGCTCATCCCATGCAAGTGTATGGGAGGTCTCTGTCCAACGATGCAGTTTAGATCAGGGTTGTCACTTTAGCCCTGGAAGGACTGCCGCCAGATGGATGGTGACCTTGTATAACTGCGATGTTCCCAAACTCCCAAACTTTAACCAATTCATGACTGCCCTGAAACGCCAGTTTGAAGATTGCTTACCAGACCGGAAGGCTCAGGATCATATAAAAACAGTGAAACGGGCATTGACCAGTGGCCAAATACATGGAAGAGTTTCACAACTTGGCTTACTGCCTTAACTGGCCCGAAGTCATTCTGATAAGCTGTTTCCAAGATGGGCTGAACAACAACCTGTACAATGCTTGTGCCCGGGAAGCACCAGCCCATCTGTATGAATGATGTGTCGTAGCTGAAGAAGTGGAAATTGACCAGACCCACAACCAGTGCTGTCCTACGAAGTCAGGGGGGCGAAGCCAGATGGAGAAGAGAGGAGAGGCCAGCAAAAACCTCTGCAAACCAACCACATTCCTCTGCCTGCTTCAAGTGTGGCAAAGAAGGGCATCGTGCCATGGAATGCTGCAGCAAAACTCTGGCTAGGAAGCCAGATCATCCCTCTGGGGGGAAGCCAAGCAAGGCTACCTGGCACTCGAAAGACACAGCCCTGAAGTCCACCTAGGTCGTGGAGCTACCCTGAGCCCCAAAGGCTGGGGGTAGAGCTCCAACCCCACCAGGTGACAAGTCAGGGATGTCGGAGAGTGGCTATGTTGATGACCCATTGGTATGTGGACCAAACAACACCATAACTATGCCCATATAACAGTCAATCCCAGGCACGGGCAGGAGAACGACATAATCGCACTGCTGAACTCAGGGTGCATCCGGTGCTTAATAAGCCCCAGCCTCGTTGGGAAAATGGGAGTTCCTCTAAGGAAACTCAAGGACCCCATTGCCTTTTGTTAGCTCGATGGGTCCGTGACAGGGTGCATC